TTTTTTTTTTGAAGCCAAGTGTTCGTATGCAAAGTTCAATTTGACAGTCAAATGTTCAAGGGAAAGCGGCGGCACAGTAGTTATATTTAGAAAAGATATTTCAGCAGCATGAATTCGCCTCCTAACTGTCATCTCAAATCTAGCTTCTTGGAGGTAATTTCGAATGGAAACTGTCTTGGCCGTTAGGTTTGTTAAGGTACTATAAACGAGAAAACGGTCTTCTCTAGCTATTGTCTTGTCTTATCGTGGACCAGGTCCTCGATTGAACAAATCAGTCTCTCCATACTATGCTCATACTTGTACACTCGAGATACTTCCACCAATGTTTCTTGCAGTTTCGCGCTGACCGCGGTCATCTTCTAAAGTGGCCGCAATTCTTGCCGCACGAACAGAATTTGTGCTGATTGCAATACATTAAAGTCTGGAAAATACTAAATGAAACTATACAACAAAAATCACGCTCCGTAAATCGTCAAATGTATCCGAAGTCACGTGGTCTTCATGAATTCTAGGAAATTTTGAATTCGATCATTGGCGACGTCTAAGAAAATGTGTTCGAAACCTCTGTTCATATCCTCACCGGTTTTTTTTTTATAATAAATTAAACCACTGTCTTTTAGAAAGCCGCTGTCACTTCCAATATGTGTCACTATGAGTCACTGTCCTTTACCTGTCGGTTCTCGGAATTCTTGAGATAGACCTTCAACAAAAGCTTGCAGATTACTTGTTACAGTAGTGTCAGTCCACACATTTTTAACAGTATGTCTAGCATTGACCCACGTTGTGTCGAAATAATAGATTTTTCTATTTTGTTTACGGAACTTGTGACATTTTTCATAGATGGTTGCGACGCCATGTTCTGATTTCAGGTTTCTATGTCAATGCCGAATTCCTGTTGTACTTATAAGTAAACTCCAATTTATGTAACTGTTGATGCAAAGTTTCACTACTCATTTGGGGAATTACTTCATTAGTTTTTATTGCAGAAAAGAGTTTGTCTAGAGTAGGAATTTCCTTATTAAAATAAAAAGAACAAACTGTACGTCTTATTTCTGAATTATGTTCATTAAATTCAATTTGTTTTTGACGGACCTGTAAATAGTGGATGACGATACCCTTGTCACACATTTACAACGATTTATTGACTCCGACTGAAACAATGTTGTTTTCAAATACTCGTACACATTAGACACTATTTTTTTAGCTTCAAGTCCTAACTGTTTGCGAGAATTTTTTACTCTCCCTGTTAGTACTAGGTTCTTCCATTTTTATTTAATTAAACAATATTTAAACAAAAGCAATATATCGTATTTAAATAAAAGCAAACACAAAGACATACAGCGTATAAAATATTCTCCAATATAATATGCCATTGTATGGCACCATACGCAGAGCGCACCAGCTATTTATAGACTACAAGGCAGACTACGACTGTAAATAGAAGAGAATTGTTTAAAGAAATGATAGATCTAGGAGTACCAAATCAGTTGGTAAGTCTAACCAAACTAACCATTGAAAAAGTTGAATGCATAGTACGAATCCAGGGGGAACTCTCTGAACCTTTTCAAACAAATAATGGGCTACGTTAGGGAGACCCACTCTCCTGTATACTATTCAATCTAGCTCTGGAAAAAGTAATACGTACGTCACAAATTACAACTACCGGTTCAATATATAACAAATCTGTGCAAATCCTAGCATATGCTTGTCGTCTCCGGGCGATAATTAATAAACGTAGGAAAAATGTACAGCAACTGGTGCTATTTCCATGTTTACTAATATCATCTAACTATTGCGCAATATGTTGCAATATTGCGTAGTTAGCCGGTACGCTCTGTTAGGGGCATTGTCTTGACAAAGACAATGCTGGTGTGCAAGAAGAAAAAAACTCAGCGTCAGAGTCTTAGAAATTTTCAGAGCCCTTCAAAGTGAGGAGCTCTAGGGCTACCCGCTAAGGGTAAAACCGCACTGACTGTAAATCCGAAAATGTCCCATATTTAAAGTAAAATTAACTTTTATATGAAACCTTTTCGATTTTTAACCAATTAAAATTTGAATAAAACTCCAGAAGGAAGGGCGATGAACATCGAGGTGCGTGATTGGTGGCACCTGATGACATGCTGATGATATCAATATTGTTGGGAGAACGGAAAACGCAGCACGAGAGGTGTACGTAGCACTAAAGGAAGTGGCTACAAAAATGGCTTTAATAATAAACACCAATAAAACTAAATACATGAAAATAGGTACGCAACCACAAATACTACGGCCACTTTTTATAGAAAACGACGTCATCGAAGCAGTTAACGAATTTGTATACCTGGGAACGCTCGTCAATACTGAAAATGACACTACCGCAGAGATAAACCGCAGAATTTGCACGGCTAATAAATGCTATTTTGGACTTAATCTCCTTTTTAAATCTACAGTTATATCAATAAATACCAAATTAAAACTGTACAAAACCATAATACGACCAGTCCTAACATATGTTAGGACAAAACATGTTAGGATGTTTCGAAAGAAAAATACTAAGGCGAATCTATGGAGCGGTAAATGAAAATTGTGTCTGGAGAAGACGAAACTGACATTTTTACATTAAAAATGCGGGTTGGGAAATTCTGGAACAAGCGTGGGGTTCGATTTGAGCAACCAAACTATCAGATTTATAATTAAAATAACTTTTTCGATAAATGTCGAAATGAAATAACTTGGATATAAACATGGTCCCCAATCCTTTCCATTAAAGAATGAATATAGAGATTATCACAGAGTATCATCCTGTCAGTAACAATCAAAAAGTAGGTGATGACGCTCAAAACATTTGTTGTCATCTCATTGTGAGACTATTTGACCGAACGATGCAAGCGCTCGTATACATAGCGGTGAAAGCGTAAACTAATGATTAGGGGCATTCCCAACAGCGTGCAACACATTGGAGAATCCGGAAGGCTGAGGGTCCACTTTGAGGCCGGGTCCGAATGTAGGTACTTTCCTCTATTTTTAGTGAGAATAGTTTTCACTAAAAAAATGAGGAATGTACAATAATTAAATAAATTAAAATATCATGGGAGGAAATATTCCCTACAAATAAAAACTCTCAGCCATTAAATAACTATATTATTCAGACTTATTAAATTGGTAAAGCAACAGCTAAGGAAACAATTTAAAAAGTTAATTATAAAGTTTATAATATATTTTTATAGGCAATTTATAGTAAACTTATAATGTATATTATAAATAGCATGTTAAGTTATTTTTAATATTTACGATAACAGTATTCGAAACAATATATTATGGGCTTATGAATAAGATACTTCAAAACAGGAACAGATTTAACAGAACTCATTAAAAGTATATGTATACTGTATTTTCATATATTATGTACTCATAATACCATACTGTATTTTCTTCCAGACACTACCCTTTTAGTTTTTTTCAGTCAATGTCGTTTTTTATTACAAATTTTAATGCATCTAAATACGTATGAATTTTGAATATTTAACTGTTTTTATTAATCTAATTTATTGTCTTTATTTATTATAAAAAGGGTTCTACACTTTTACAACACTTACAAGTTTATTAAAGTCTTTATTACTTTATATATACAGTATTCACTAATTTATTTCACAATATTTATTTCCGCGTTACAATTTAAACTCGAGACAATTATATTTTCGGACTGACTTGTTTTCAAATAAAATGTTCCATATATACTAAATAACCTTTATCTGGAATCGTGGCGAAGGATTGATGACCTTCTCGGATAGAGTGGAATCCCACGCCAGACAGGTTCTTAACGAAGGGGGACCCGTGGATGTTTGCCTAGAAATTTCTGCCGGCTGGTGTATGATCTAGAAAAGACTTGAATGGAATAGAATTAGAAATAATATGTTTACAGTTATGAGTCATATTTATCGTAACAATATCAAAGGACCCAAGATTTCAGAATTGTGTAAAAATAATATCTCGATTTTCGTTAAGTTTTCTTGCACATTGCCTTGAATAAAGGCAAGGTAGTCCAATGCCTCGAGCTCCCATCACTTTGTTTGTACTTTCACTATAATATTCCTGTCCCTTATTACGTTTTACTTTTCTTTGGTTTCTTTTGATGTCAGATGATTTTCGTTTTAGCCAACGGGTTGATTTTTTTGCATTTTCGCCTATTACGTTTTCTAGATTATTGCCTTTGGAAATTTTCTCACTCGAAACATTTTCCGAATCGCCTGAATAAAAAAGATTATTTTCAATATGCTATATTATGACAAGCCACGCTAAATTCTACACGATAAGGTTAACAAAGAAAAATGTACTACAAATATAAGTAAAAATCATAATAACTTATTGTAATAACGGTTGTTGCCATTCTTGTTATTTTTACTAATTCGTACAGTTACAGAAAATGTAAAATAGTTATTAAAATATTTAAAAGGTAGAATATGATAAGCCACACTTAAAAAACATACGCTTACTGCTGAATCTGGATCATAATTTGGATCTTGATCACTATCATCTAATGGTGGAGCACCATGTCCAACATTCTTGCTATTTGCGCTATCTAGTTTCTGTATATTTTCACAAAAAACACCGTTATTATCGTCACAGATTGTCAATTCATATACACGTTTTTAGTACCACGAACAACAGTTTGGAGAACTTTACGCCGCCAGGGCTTGTATCCATATCATTTGTCAAGGATAATGATTACTTGATGGGGATCATTATCCTCGACTGGTTTTCTCTTCATGGACATAATAAAAAGCGAAAAAATATTAAGTGAAGCAACTTTTACTTACATAAGTGGTTTTACCTCTTGGTAAGGTTGCAAGAACATTCCCAAAACATGAAAATAAAAATATTTAACACATTTTACAACCAATTCATTTATTTTCAGTTTTATTTTCTTTGTAACTACTGCTTCCATATTTTTTTCATATTCATTTATCTCACCAGTTTGCAAAATAATATTTTTAGTATATATTTTTTTTGTATTGTTTCAGTTTGCTGGTCTGGACTTGCAGAGTCGCAGCTCAAACAGCAGCGGCCGTTACGTGCCCCCACACTTGCGTAATAAGCAACAAAGTCAACAACAGTCGCCATCTACCGACAGCTTCGATAAGGATCGTTACGATAATAGAGATCGTTACGACAACAGGGACAGAGATCGCGGCGCACAAGATTCAAGAGATAGAGGTGGCAGCCGAGGAAGCAACAGAGGCTTCGGCGGTGGCAGCGGCAGAGACAATAGGGATAGTAGAGAAACCAGAGAAAATAGAGATAGTAGGGACAGCAGAGGTGGAGATTTCTCCAGCTTTAACACAAGAAATAGAAGAGATTATCAAAATGGAGAGTCTTTTGAAAGGTATGGGTTAGATTAATAACGGTTTAAAAAACATATGATCTATCTTTTCTACTTTGGTATAAGTTAAAGATGTTTCTATGTATGTTGAGCCTGCTACAATAATATTAATGCTTTTTAGCTTGTTCACTACACCTCCTGTGCTCTGCTTTCCACTCACTGATCTCCATTTCACACTCGAAGGGTTCTCTTCTCTTCGAGTTTTCTTTCTAGATCATCGTTTTACAGAAATTGGATTCACATTCAATGTTGTTCTTGTTAGCACATCCCCCAATAATTGTTTATAGATCAATAATTGATCATCGATGAATAAAATATTCGAAAACGCAGCAGCTTTATTCAGACGACTACTTGCGAAGAATGGAGCTTTGTGAAACTCCAATAACAAAGGCTAATGATGAACCCAATTTTATTAAAATCATTTTATTTACTGATGAATCTTCTGTTTCGTTAGTAGGGAGACACAATCCTTCCATTACGAGGTATTGGGCGCGGGAAAACCAGCACAGAAGTGTTGTTTACTGAACTCGACGTCCTCAAAAAATTAACGTCTGGACTGGCATTTTATAAGACCACATAATAGGTTCATTTTTTATTGAGGGCAACTTGAATAGTAGAGTATAACTCGATTTGTTACAGAATCATGTTCTTCCCGCTATTCTCAATCTTCCTGATTTAAATCTGGTGAATGTTTGGTTCCATCAAGACGGCTGTTCAGTTCACAACGCTCGAATATTTAGGGAGTACTTAAACAATACTTTCCCGAATCGAGTTATCAGTGGAACAGGTGCTATTAAGTGGCCTGCACGATTTCCACGTTTTACACCCATGGACTTCTTTTTTGGAGACATTTAAATAGCATCATCTACGATCATCCTGAGGCTGGAGAACAAAATTTGGATGAATTAAGAAACCGAATAAGAGAAGTATTCAATTCTATTACAGCAGAAACTCTTACATCTGTCCGCAGAAGTTTTTATGACATATTGGGATACTGTTCAGCCGTAGAACGTCAAATATTTTATTATTTCTGTAGGGCATAATTGGTTTTCTCGTTTTTTGTCTAGGATTTTAGGTGTTGGAGCGGAGGGGATCGGGGAATTACAATTACCTCGTACGAGGCAATGTTTCCGATTTTAGCGCTTTATGTATTTGCAGTATCTAATCCAAAACTTACCGTACTGAGTGCGTTCATCATTAGGAAACGATTCATGCACTTGAGGTATCAGTCTATTCTTCATTATTGATTCTGAAGTCTGCCTAGTCCCTTACCGCTAGTGGTAAACCAGACCAACATGTTTGTTGGATGTTACAGTTTTAACAATACATACAGGTACATACTTTTCTGCAGGCCTTTGACTATATAGACTAATACTGAGCTTTTTTGGTAAGAATTTCAAAAGTACTTTCATCACTGCAGCAAACCTGTTAAAAAAGTATGAAAATAATTTTATTTTGATCATCTTTCACAATTTTTGAACATATAAAACCTTTTTCAGTTTTCTACGGTAAAGTCCTCGTATTTTTTGCCCAAGCTAGTTTTTTTTTCTGCATATTTTTTATTAGAGGAGGCTTCCTAGATGGACATCGACTTTCGAACCCCAACTCCGTTAATCTAATCTCCAACGAACTATACGTGTTGAATACTTGGACACCATTTTCAGTAAATTTTTCCTTGATTGCTTTATTTGTTTGTAGTTAGTAGATAGTCAGCCACTTCATCATACTTTGACCTATACTTTTTGGTGGAGGCGTCTATTATGTCGCGTTTCATGTGACATGTCACTTTTTGTGTCAAATGTCACGTTTTATGTTACACAAAATTTTATGTGACATAATATGTGACATTTGACTTAAAATGTGACGTCAAACGTGACATTTGACATAAGGTGTGACATACACGCCTTCACTAAAAAATGGTGTTAGAAGTGAAAGTGAGATGAAGTGGCTTACTATCTGCTCTATTCTATCTTCTTTCAAACTTGTGTTTAAGTTCAAACCTCACATGTTGTAATAACTTGTTTCTTCCCACATTTACACTTAAGTTTCGGCCTTAAGGTTACGTCATTATGTAATTTTCGTGTAAAATTTGCCACAGCTATTTTGGCAACTTCGATCTTGGAAGCAATTTAGCGTTAGCAAAGATTTCCGTGCATTAAAAGTTCTTTAATTTCTGAAATTTTTTAGGTGACACAGATCTTTTTTTCCATATCTAAAACAAGGCAAAATTTGAACACCATTTTAAAAAGAAACATTTTTTAACTTCAAATTTAAAAGTATTAAGTTATAATAATATTTACAAAAACTCACCTTAAAAATTATTTTGACAGGAATGAATGGGGTAGTAGCCGCAATAACGACAGGGACAGGGACCGTAACGCCGACGTTCAACCACGCAACGATCGCTGGCAGGAGCCGGAGCGTCCTGCGAGGACTAGCGAGAGCAGAGATGGCGGTAGCGGAGGACGATGGAACGACAACGGAGGCGGCGGTGGTCGCTGGAGCGAAAACCGCCGCAACATCTCGTCCGAAAACGATTGGACTGTTCCCTTATCCAGGGACGAACGTCTTGAGCAAGAGCTCTTTGGTACTGGGAACACCGGAATCAACTTCAGTAAATACGAAGATATACCGGTGGAGGCGACGGGAGACAAAGTGCCGCGTCACATTACATCTGTAAGTACATATTTTTTCTATTCTACATTTTAACATTATTAATCAACTGTATTTACCAAAGCACATATTTAAGGCTTCTGGTAGGTGACTTCCGTTATAGTGCAGTGGGAAGTCTTCAAGCTACACTAAACGAACCGCTTTTATTTATAAGACGATTACATAAGTATCTCATTAACATACGTTGCTAAACTCTGTCGCAAAATCAGCAATCTTCGCTATCTACTTACCTAATTGGAGAGTTAATGCTCTGGCTATTAATACCTCTCTAATAAATTAATCATAGAATGTCAAAAATCCCACTCTCACTAATCTCTTATGTCAAAAATTGCCAACAAAATAAGATGCCAGCAATGACAAGGTAGATGCATTAAGTTAAAGCAACCACTAAGAACCACGTCACCTACGTATGTCTATTTGACATATTTGTCTTTATCCATTCGTTTTTGAAAGTTTGTCATTTTTTATGGCTGAAAAAAAAGTTTTTGTTAACGTGCACTCGATAAATCGAATCATCATCACAATCATTAACATCTTAGTAGATGTGTTGTGGTTCATAATTGGGCTTCAGCAGCTCGGACAGTTTGATTGATAATATTTCTCCACTGGTCGCGGTCATCAGTTATATGTATTGCCTCCGTATACTGTTTATTGAGAAGCTTTTTAGTAATGTCCGCCCATCGCTGTGGAGATCTTCCGCATTGGCGTTGAGTCTGAGGCCTTCCTTGGACCACCAACCGCTCCATTTTGTGATCACTTCGATGGATATGGCCAAAGAACTTTAAAATTCTAGAGTAAACGGTACTGGAGAGACGTTGATCCGGTTTAATTTCATCCAGAACCGAGATATTTGTACGGCGAGCCGTCCATGGAATTCGAAGCAGGCGTCTCCATGTCCACATTTCAAAGGCGTCTATACGTCGTCGATCTGATTCTTTGACTGTCCATGTCTCGCATGCATAGTAAAATATGGAAAAGACCAGAGTTGAAACGAGTCTCTTTTTGTTTGTCATAGTAATGTGACGATCACGCCAGACCCCGTTTAGTTCACTCATTGCTGCTCTTGCTAGTTGAATGCGTCTTCTAATTTCGGATTCACAACTGCCTGTGTTGTTAACTAGAGCTCCAAGATATATCATAGATGAGACTACCTCGCATCCCGCAATAGTTTGGGTTTCAGGAAACTGTTGTTGGCGATCAATAACCATGATTTTGGTTTTGTTGTAGTTAACCATGAGTCCAAATTTAGCACTTTCTACCTCGAGTTTTTTTAATAATCTAGTAATTTCTTCTGGAGTAGAGGCTAGAAGTGTAGTGTCGTCTGAGAAACGCAAGTTAGATATCTTAACACCACCTAGGTTTACTCCTCCCTCCCAACCATCCAAAACTCTGCGCATTATGAACTCCGAATAGATGTTAAATAATAAGGGAGATAAAACGCATCCTTGGCGTACTCCCTTCTCCAAAGTGCATTTGTCAGACAGATATCCGTCCATTCGAATATATGCCAGGTTATCTTGATACAGTTTGCTAATAAGGTGAGTCAAGTGTTTAGGTACACCCATTGTCGTCAATATGTTCCATAGTTTGTCCCATCTAACATTATCAAAGGCCTTTGTATAATCGACGAAACATATAAATATCGGGATCTGGTATTCTCTGGCTTTTTCTATGATGTTTCGTACATTAAGGATTTGTTCTCTAGTACCTCTGCCCTTTACAAATCCAGCCTGCTCAGGTGCTATTTGCCAACTTATGAAGTTTTCTAGACGCCGTTGCAGTATGTAGAGGATCACCTTACTGGCGTGTGATATTAGAGCTAATAGTCTAACTAGTAGTTGTTACAATTATTTGTTGAACCTTTCTTATGAAGAGGTATGATTATGGTCTTTCTCCAATCCTCAGGCCAGACGCCTGTGTGCCATATTTCATTGCACAATCGATGTAATATTTTCACTCCACATTCCGGAAGATGCTTCAAGACGTCTGCAGTAATGAAGATCATATCCTGCTGCTTTGTTTAACTTAAGTCTTTTTAAAGCGAATTCCACCTCGGAAAAAAGTATGTCAGGTTCAGACTCAAAACTAGTGTGGTGTGTCTCTGTTGAAGATGTTAAATCGAATATGTACTTATAAAACAATGCTTTTTGCTTATTTGAATTTATTAAGTTTTATAATTACTACTAAGTCTTATAATTAGTACTAACACTAAAAACACAATTAATTTATAACATTGATTTGCTTAACCCCCTACAAATTTACTTTATCGACTGACTCCTACAGTTTAATTTCTGTTTCGAAAATCGAGTATTTTCTATCAGTGGCAAGGCTTGTTGGTTAGCTTTTTAGGAAAGAAAAGTATTTTTAATATCGAAGAATAGTTTACAATGAGGTAAGTTGTAACTTGTGCAAGCTGTAGCTTTGCATAATGATAAGTGTTTTGTTTGGTATATCGAATATGTTTGGCTTGATTGGAGTTCTGTGAAGTGCAATATCCGATGTTAAATTTCGAGAAACTGGTTCTTACGCAAGGATCCCTGAATAGTGAATATACCAAGGGCAACAAACGTGGAAGATCGGTTTACTGCAAAATACATTTACTGCTTACTAGAAGACTGACAGCTGTTCATAGTACCATTGTTCACTTGATACCGTACGCAAAAGATTAAGCGAACAAAATTTATCTTATGTATCTGCTATGGGCCCGTTATTGGATACAGCCCATCGAAGACAATGATTGAGATATGGAAGCTTGGAGGAACTTTCTGTTTACAACCTAATGCCGTTTTACGGGATATTTAACTGATGGTCGCCAAAGAGTGTGGATTTGTGAAGGTCTTAAGAATGCTATGCCCAATGTTCATGCTCTCCTAGAGTCCAGTTTGGTGGTGGAGGTATAATGTTATGAGGCGGCAATTCTTTGTTCTCCTAATGCTAGATAATGCTCTACCGCGCATAGCATAGCATTCGCGGGGAATCAATCCGCATTAACTTTTTGGTTGTGTAACTTTGCTTTCTCAATTCTTTCCTTTTTTTCTGAACCTCTCCTTTCAAGATATATCGTCCAGCTGAGTCTTTGTGCCTTGATAAATCTGACGATGTCTTCTCCTTTCAAAAGTTCCTTATTTCGTGGTTCATCAATTTTCTAAATGCACCATTATCTAAGTTTATTGGGCCTGCTATTCTCCAAATTATTTATCTCTTGTATCCTTAATATTTTCTAAAGTTCTTCTTATTTTGGCATCATAACCCTGGATGGGTCTTTGTCTGTCTGACTATGTTCTTCCATTCAAACCTCTTGTGTAGCATTTTTAGAAAGTTTCTTCCATAATATATTACTGAAAATCTGCAAAAGATGGTTCTCTTTACAAACTGCATGACCATTTCGAATAACAATTAGCCAAGAAATGATTTCATCCCAAACAAGTATGGAAGTAATGTCGCAATATTCACAAATAGCCACAATATATTTTTTTTAATTTGTAGTGATAATAGAACGATGTGATATACTAAAAATCATCAAACGCATTTTTTTATTTAGAAAAATGTAGGATTAAAATTATATATATAAAAAAATTAGGTCATTTGATTTTATCAAATATGAACTCTTAATTTCAGATATTAACTTTTTAAATTGTTATAAAAATAGATTGTCCATAAAACGAAATGAAAAATATAAATATGTAGTTCTTTGAACTGGTTTTAACAATATTTTAAAAAAATATTTATAAACATCGAAATTTGTCTGTGAGAATTAAATGTTTTGTAACCTTACTGTAATATTTTGTATATTTTATTTATTGTTTGTAGTTACAGGAATTTTACCTTTGTATAATTATAAACAATAATTAATGATATATTTAGTGTGAATGAATTACCCGTGAAGGTGTTTTGACCTTAGGAAATACTTTCTAAATATTTCTGAAATCTTTATCATGTGACATATGACATCTTTAAACATGTGTTAAGTTTTACGACCTCAATTGGACAAACATAAAGTCGGCCAATTTTCGGCGGCATTGTCAATCATAAGTAGAGACAGGATGATATGCTCTAAAAATGGTTAAAATATGCATGCAACATGCACTTAAAAAGTAACCAAATATGCCTTTATTATATGTAATATGCATTTATATATGCACTTTAAAAAAAGATTTTTTAATTTTTAGTCTCGACTTTAACTCGACTCTAACTTTCTCTGCCACCCTGTTTAAACCATGCGATAGGAAGCGGCATCGCTAACTAGTAGCAAATTTTTTTTTGCAATCCCTATAAATTATTTTTGTTAAAAAATAAAAAACTATATATAATGTTATTATTTTGTAGTTTGAGGAAGTACAGCTGACAGAAATAATTCGCAGCAACATTACAATGGCTCGTTACGATTCCCCCACTCCGGTGCAGAAGTACGCGATACCGATAATCATATCGAAGAGAGACGTTATGGCGTGTGCACAAACCGGATCCGGCAAGACGGCCGCTTTCCTGGTACCAATTTTGAATCAGATGTTCGAAAATGGCCCGCCAAACATACAACACGGAAGAAGTAGACGCAAGCAGTTCCCTCTAGGATTGGTCCTTGCACCGACGAGAGAATTGGCTACGCAAATTTATGACGAAAGCAAGAAATTTTCTTATAGATCAAGAGTTAGACCATGTGTAGTGTGAGTATATGTTTTTTTGCTAGATTATTATTATCGTTATATTAAAATAGTTTAGTGATCTTTGTAAGTCATAGTGTCGCTGACAATTCTTCTTCATGTACCATGTCCTTTCAGAACGTTGGTTACCATCATACCTATCTTAATTTTATTCACTGCCACCCTAAATAGCATGCTTGTATCAACACCAATCTCGCAAGTTCTTCAACCATGAGGTTCTTCTTCGTCCTGGACTGTGTTTGCCTGCTATTTCTCCTTGCATGATATTTTGTAACAACCTATATTTGGGACCTCTCATTGCATGTCCGAAATACTCCAACTTTCTCTGCTTGATGCTTTTTATGATCTCAGTAGTCTTGCTGAGACGTTCTAGTACTGTGGAGTTTCGAATTCTCTCCACCCAGGAAATTTTTAAAATTCTTCTATAGCACCACATTTCGTAAGCATCAAGGCGATTTAGATCGATTTTATTCACAGTCCAGGACTCGACACCATAAAGTAAGACCGAGAACACGTAGCAGCGAAATAGGCGGATCCTTGATGCCAATTTTAGGTCTCTGTTACATAACACCTTGGACATCATTCTAAAAGCAGCTCTATCCTAGATCTAATTTCGCTGTGACTTTCTGCGTTACACTTTAATTGCTGTCCAAGGTAAACGATTTTATCAACTTTCTAAGTTGGGTATTATTTACATATAGGGTCAATCCATACGAAGTGGTCCAATATAAATTAAGTTGGTTGCTTGACTATTTTTAATATTTTTTATTTTTCTACCACTTCCGTTCAACTTACTTTTGTATACTCTATAAACTTCAGTTTATAGAGTATACAAAATCGCTTTAATTTTATTTTTTAAAAAAAAATATTTCGACGATGGCGGCCATTTTTTTTCATCGTGTTGGATCATTTTCACGCAAAACCTGACTTCGTTCTTTAGCCAATATTTTCACTTAGATTTGTCCTAGAACAATAGATCAAAAACCAAACTGTTTGTAAAAGTATGCTCTAAAAAAGTGACCCATAGCATTATTTAATTACAAACTACCCTTAAGACCTTAAATGGACCTCAAAGTTTGAAAAGGTAAACTAATAAAATTCCGTTTCAGCATTTTTTTAACAACATAAGGCAAGCTGATAACGTTTTGTAATTTTTTTCTGGAAAAGACATACATACTTTAAATGAAAAAAGTTTGAGCTTTGAGACTGAAGTCAATTTTTTCAAACAAAATCTCAAAAATTTAATGTTTTGAAAAATTTCAAAGTTTGAGCCCTTATGTCTCTGATGATCAAGCAAGTAAAAATTTAAAATTTGGCTGAATGTTAGTTCCTAATAAGTAGAATAAAGGGTAAAAATTTGAAGTTGTAGACTTAATGACATATAGGAGTTACAGGCCTGAGGAAAGGCAAAAAAAATCATTAATTTGAGCGTTTGCGGTAGAGTAATTAAAATTCAAATAAACTGTCTAATGAAATAAAAATTAATGTATTTTCACCAAATTTCACAATAAATACCAATTTATACTACATTATAGAAATATTAACGTTCATTTAAAAATTTGACAGTTCAGAAGTTGGGATATTTCATCACATAAATCTTGAGATATGTTATGATTATGTCCAGTTGCTGTTTTTAGTTCTGATGGTGTGATTTTCTTCAAGATTTTATGAAAAGGCACCCAAGCTTCATCATGAGTATTAACTGATGTTCTGGGTCCAAAAGGTTCAAAAAAGTGCACATAGAAGTCATAATGTTCAATGCTGACAGTTTACTGACCCCTAGCCACCACTGTCCATCATACACACAGGCTATTACATCATTTTCACTTAGGGAAATTTGTGAAAAATTCTAAATATTTAGTTGCCTGGGATGTTTTAAAACATTTGACTTTATTTTCTGAAATTGGTACGATTCGACGAAAAGAACGCGTGCCAGGAATTTTCAAACAAGTTTTAAATGTCCCTTTAAGTTGTGATTCATGTTGTAGGATTTCTTCACTTTCAACATAATAATATTGAATACCTTTTAAATTCTGTGAACAGAAATCAAACATATCTTTTGCAGTTAAAATTTGATTCTTACAAGTTGATTGTAAACTGGTTTCAGAAACTTCTCTTTTTGTTGTGCCGCCGATACCATCGCATGCATTTTTCCCGTGGTCTGTTGCAAAAAAGTGCCATTTCGCCCATAGACCAAAAGCTTGCTCATGATGACAGATATTCAGGAAATTTTTTTATTTTTATATTAGCTATCGTCACCATCAGTAAAATAAATTACTCTTTTAACAGCTGGAGCAATAGCTCCAATCTTCAATGAAATATTTCTGAAAACAGTGAATCACGGCAGTGTTATGTTGTTGATAGTTACTTATGATGCATAGAAGATATTTTTGTTTGTGGACTGGCTTTCCTTCGATGCGCACAGACACACAGTCTTTTTTTCCGGGGCAAATGGCCTTCAGTGCGTGGCTTTAACTTTTCTGTTGACAAGACAAAAGTTTTCTCGCAGGACAGCCAGTAATATAAATCCTAAAATAATTATAAATGGCACTTGCCTAAATGTTGTAAAAAGTATTTCAGAAAAATAATAGTTCAGTACACTTTAAACTATTCAGAGTAGCTTCTAGTATATTTGCGAGTAACTTGAATGTTTTCATCTTTCAAAAAGTAATCAATACAAGTAGATCTACTGGTCTGCAAGACTTATGATTTGGATTTTTTTTATAAATAAGTACCTTAAACTTATTTCCGCTTAAATTATCTTATTTGCATCGTGGGCAAAACCTGCTATTAATTTGACCTCATAAATATTTTTGTTACAGTTATGGAGGCGCACATATCGGTGATCAAATGCGCGAACTGGACCGCGGATGTCACCTCCTTGTCGCAACTCCAGGTCGTTTGCTCGATATGATCGAACGAGGACGCATCGGTCTGGATTATTGCCGTTACTTGGTGCTCGATGAAGCTGACAGAATGTTGGATATGGGTTTTGAGGTGCAAATTAGACGAATCGTCGAAAAAGAAACCATGCCCAAAACTGGAGAGAGACAAACACTTATGTTCTCAGCCACTTTCCCCTCACCCATACAAATGCTAGCCAGGGATTTCTTGGACAATTATATTTTCTTGGCTGTAGGAAGAGTTGGTAGTACTTCCGAAAATATTACACAAAAGGTAATAATATTAATGGAAACAAAAATATAAATTTATTCGATTATAATTTTTATTTAAGGTATTTTATTATGTGTATTACACTATTTCAGGTGGTGTGGGTAGAAGAACACGACAAAAGATCCTTCCTATTGGATTTACTCAACGTTGCAGACTTACAACAACCTTCACCAGAAAGTTTGACACTGGTTTTCGTCGAAACCAAGAAAGGTGCCGACTCTTTGGAAGAATTTTTACATATTGAAGGATATCCAGTGACATCAATCCACGGAGACCGTAGTCAGAGAGAAAGAGAAGACGCTCTGAGACAATTTAGATCAGGAAACACTCCGATTTTAGTAGCAACTGCTGTAGCTGCCAGAGGATTGGATATTCCACATGTTAAACATGTTATTAATTTCGATTTACCCTCAGATATTGAAGAATACGTACACAGGTAAGTCTATTATTCCCATCCAAAGCCCAAAAAATATATTTTTAATTTGGTAATAATTAATCATTTCTCCTTCAGAATTGGTCGTACGGGTCGTATGGGCAACCTCGGTCTTGCGACATCATTTTTCAACGATCGCAACAGAAACCTGGCCAGTGGCTTGCTAGACATTTTGATCGAAGCAAAACAGGAGTACCCCAGTTGGCTGGAAGGCGTAGCAGCCGATGGAAGAGCACCCAGCGCCAATAGAAGAGGTGGCAAGGGAAGATATGGCAGTGGTGGTAGTAGTTTCGGTAGCAGAGATTACCGTCAAACATCTGGTGGCGGCAGCCAAAGAGGTCAAAGGTCTGGCGGTGGTAGCGGATATGGAAATAATGGATACGGTAATGGAGGTAAGTGGTTAAAAGATATTTATCAATAATATTATTAAAAGTTGAGGACTGATTAAATTTGCTACTTCAAGTACAAAACATAAAAAAATAGTATTATTAGTAAATTTCGTGGAGTATTCAATTATTACAACTTTTACAATGCTTTTTTATTCTACTGTATATACAGTGCATTCATAAAGTGTGGAAAGTGTCTATTTATTATCTCATTACTTAATTATTTTCAGAGTTAAAACTCTGATAGATGAATTTTTATTTTTGTTTTTTAACCTTTTTGAAAAAAAAACTTTTACCCCCACTACCTTAGCAGATGTGACGTCATCGATATTTTTTTAAATAGAGAGGGTATATTTTTATCTAAAAAATTAAAAACCCATATTTTTCTGAGTAGAACCGTACCAAACTCATCGCATTCAAACTTCAGTATACAGAGTGTAAAGGAAACCAGTGTTGGTTGAACCAACACTGGTTGGTTGAACCAGCACTGGTTGGTTGGTCAATTAAACCACTCTTGGTTTAGTTGACAGTACCCAAAAGTCCATGGGATTCAAATCTGGCGACCTAGCAGGAATTCAATGTGGCCGCGTCGTCCAATCCAGCGATTGGGAAAAGTTGCATTTAGAAAATTTCTAACCACTACAGCATAATCTGCATAATACATATCAATCTACAGCATAATAAATGAGTATTTTTTCAATTTCAAGTAATACATTTAATTGATTGTCGTCGTAAACAGTGGGTCTGTCACTCTTGAGCTTATCTCCAACATTGGCAATATCATTAAATTTATGTAATATTTTACTTACCGTCGCTTTACTTATTGGTATTCAATCAGGATATTTTTCATTAAAGATATTGCATACTTCCGCCATAATTCTTTTACAATCGCTGTAACCTAGGATCATCAAAACGTTTCTTCCCTGTTTTTCTGACAGCACCATTGTAATTTCAAATAATTTCTATTAGGGTAATATTTCTCAAAAAGATACTAGTGCAGACTTCTAAATCGATGTAACACAACTAGGGATTGCAATCTATCAGCATTTTCAGTCCAGCTGGATTTTTGCAAGATTGGTTTGAATCCAGCTGGATCCAGCAAAATAAGGAATCAAAATAAAAACACGATTTTAATGTTTTTTTTTGTTCATTTATTACTTAAACTTTTTAATACAAACTAATAAAATAAAAACTCAAAATAAAAATTATCATAGGTATATATAATCAAATAAAGACGCATATAGGTGTATATAATCAAATAAGGACGTATATAGGTGTATATAATCAAATAAGGACGTATAATCAGTCGCAATTCGCAATCAATCTTACCATCTTTAACTTAAAATGGCTAGAGCAAATGCCACAATTATCATGAGATTAAAAAAAAACTCGGTACTCAGTAAGCTGTGGAAGTGAAACATAGGGGTTTGCTTGTGTCGACTGAGAATTGTCACGAATGAAATTTTATCTAAAGAACTTACTGTTGTAAGAGTAGTTCATTTGAAGCAAATTTTATTGATGGCAATTTTGAGCTGACACAAGTTAAGTAATATGTTTTTCTTCCATGGCTTACTGAGGACGAGTTTTTTTTTGATACCATGATAAAAATCAGTCTGTATTCTAAATTTCTAAACAACAGAAACATGAATTATTTAGTTTTTTGGAAGTGAGACCTTAAAAACATATTTTTTTCTATCGTCTTATCGCCTAACCTACTTCGCACAGATCTGCACATATAGCCGGTTGCGAAGAAAATCATTTCGGCCTTTACTCTGATCGGTTTTAAGGTCATCAAATAGTCATAAACCGTGGACAAATGATCGCCTTTTACTCCTTCGGTCTCATAAATGATCATTTCCTTTTTCAAAATCTTTTCGTAATCTTTTTAAGAACCAATAGTTAAGAAGGAAGAGGAAGGAAGGAAGAAATTATTCAATTAACTTACATAAATCATCAAGTGATGATCTAATCATAAATTATGCTAAATTATTAGATATTGTGACGGGTGGCTCTTTCGAAGCGACAGACTCAGTAAAACACAGGTTGAAATAAAAATAAATCTATTAATTCTAACGTATGTACAAAAATAAAATATATTCTGTATCCCCGCCTGGATCCTATGAGAGTGAATTCTCCAGCAGACGTCTGTAAAAGAAAAAAAATTATTATTACTAACAAAAAATGAAATACTCGAATTCGATCGCACACAAACGTTCTCGCAATCAAAATATATTCGACTGTGCAGATCCACGTTATACTCTAAGTCAGAGTTGACGGTAACGTTCAGTCCACGATATCCACGAGTTCTGCTTGATTAAGGACAGAGTATAATCCTCACTGCGGAAGTCTCTCTGTCCCTGATTCAATACACTAGCGACCCAGAGAGCCTAGAGCGTTACCTACAAGACTTATCTAATTCCATCAGTCGCTCGCCTTAAATAGCCGCTCTGGACCCGACCTCGTCGTGGCAATCGATGCGTGAATATCGACACTCCCACGGTTCGAACTGTTGAACGTTCAGCACATCGTTACAATATTTAGACAAATTACTTACCATTCAGTTTCCAAACAACATACACGGTAATACAGCAGATTGAGAGAGGCACTTATTAGGCGTGAAAACACTGTTACTGATAGCATTCTATCTGCTTGCGCGATAAAAAACGCTGGATCCAGCAATTGCAATCTCTAGTCACATCTGCTAAGGTAGTGGGGGTTAAAAGTTTTTTTTTAAGGTTAAAAAACAAAAATAAAAATCGACCCATCAGAGCTTTAACTCTGAAAATAATTAAGACATGAGTTAAGAGACCACTTCCACACTTCATGAACATATAAATATACTAGTTGCATTTTATCCAAGCCGAACTTGTGTGAGCAATCAACAGCGGAAGAGGACCGACAACCCTGTGTGTTTATTCTCCATAAGAATAGCATTGCTCTATCTTAGCTGTACTGCACTTTAAGGGTAAATTTGAGTACAGACACTAATACATATTTTTATTTTATTTTTAGGTAGCCATTATGGAGGCATGGACAGAGGTAGCAACTTTGGAGGAAACTACAGCAACTCTAATAATCGTGATGACTGGTGGGAGAAAGAATAAGTCACTTCAATAATTGATTAGAATAAAATTACTTAACACGTACCTACTACCACCAATTCGTACATCTAGTAATCCAATAACTTTCAATGTCCGTGTTTTTCTTCTACCCTTCCCGCACTCTCCCCGATGATATTTATTCTTTCCGAAGTTTTATTTATTATCAGAAATCAATTTCCTTGACGCTTCTAGTAATCCCAACAAACACACACACTACGTTTGCGTGAGTGATAATGTGTTATTTTTTTTTTCAATTTCAAACAACTTTATGTCTCTTGTATAGGAAACTTAATGGAAATAATAGGGAAAGTATCGTTAAGAGTACGTGTATGTTTTTTTTTATTTTTTACGAGAAGTTTGTGATTCTAAGAAAAATAGTTTTAGCAGATAAGTTTGGTGTTTTCTTTTTGTGAATCTCGTATATTGCAAAATATATTTACATTTATCCTAACGATAATAAAAAAAACGTAGATGTTTCACCGATTTAAATATTGAATTGTCACGGTAAATAATTAAAAGTTCGTTCTGTAGCTATTCCATTTTTGACATTTCATTTTTTTAAATTTAATATCGAAAGTTTTTATTAAAATAAAAGTAGTTTAAAAAAAATATAAAAAATGCTACTCTTATAACTTGTTCTTGTTGTAATATTTTATATTCACTGTCACAGCAGTCGCAAAACGATAAGATCTTAAAAATAATTCTGTAATTTTCGTTTGAATTACTTCATTATCTTAGTAGATTTTAGAAATCTTGATATTTTAGGTAAACTGCCATCTTACGGCTATTTAAAGATATAAAAGTTCATTCACATCAAGATCTAAAAACACTGGTGAATGGGTTTAATTATTTTTTACCAATATACTTTCACAACAATACCTATGTTAAGAACAAAACTGCAAAATTTCTTGTTCTTTTTCAAATGTACTATATGTAAAAACTATAGAACTAAAGAACTATATGTAAAAAGAAAAACATATTTAAAAATAGCCCATTAATAAATGATCATTACAGTATTTAAATAAAAAATAAAGGATGATTTTACCGAAAGTCCAAGCTGAATATAGTCACAAATGTCAATATTTCGATTTGGCAGTGTTGAAATGTTTTTATAATGCATATATTGTATGCTTCGAATATAAAGAGAGAAAGCTTTTAAAAAGTACATTTTATTATACCATTTTATGAATTCTGTAGTTTTTAATTTATATGAAACAATAACGAGTAAATATTTATCTCTTTCGAGATTAATTGCAAACATCTGATTACTGATTTGACGATTGCCAAATCTATCCCCTAATCTATCAAAGGCTAATTTCCAAAACAAATTTCTAATAATTGACTGCAATAAATCTCCAAAGAAACAAAGATTTACTCATTCTTGTTTTATATAAATTAAAAATTGCAGAATTCATAACATAATATAATCAAAATGTACTTTTCTAAAGCTTTATCTCTTTATATTTGAAGCATAAATTACATATATATTATAAACAGATGCCAACACTGTTAAAATGAAATTTTTTGTTCCATGTTTGACATTTAAGGCTATAATCAGCTTGTAAAGGGTGATTCATTTAGAGGAACTTTTTTCAACAAGAAAAAACAATGAAAAAAATTAATTTTATTTGAAAATATTTATTATCATACAAAAGAACCATTCTTTACAATTACTTCTTAAGGATAATTTCATTTACTGTTGGCCATGACTACGATTAAGTTGGTTCATTCTAAAGTTCCAATTATTTCACTAATGACTCGAGTAATATTGTCCTCCAATGCCTTAATCCTATCTGTTTAATTCATGTAGACTTTGGAGTTTAGGTAGCCCCAAAAGAAAAAATTTAGAGGTGAGATGTCACAGGATCTAGGCGGCCAATTCACTGGTCCAAAGCATGAAATAATTAATTCATCCAATCCTGCGTACAGAACTGCGTTCTCGCAGTAAAACCATGCTTTCACGTGTATGGCAAGTGGCGCCATCTAGTTGGAACTAAATGTCGCAGAGACCACGAGCTTCAATGTAGGTCGATAACCGTCTCCATTCACAGTAACATTCTGGCTAGCCTCTATTTTAAAGAAATATGGACCAACGACTCCACCAGCCCATAAACCACACCAAACGGTTGTTTTTTCAGTGTGTAATGGCAACTCTTGAACCTCTTTGGGTTGTTGATCGCCCCAAATATGGTCATTTTGTTTATTAACGTATTCATTAAGCCAAAAATTGTTTTACCCTTTTTGTGGAGGAACTTAATCACCGTACGATACTCTACTTTTTCCATTTCTTCGAAAACGCAAAATTTGCTTGCTTTTGACGGCTGTAAAACCAAACTAATTATTTTTAAAACTTAATATTTTGACAGACGTCATGTCATGAATGGCAAATGTCAACACCGAAACCAATTCGGTATGAAGTAGCGCCATCTATCAAAGGCTAGTTTAAGAACAATCTATCGTCGTAGAAACCATAGTTAGAATGCAGTGATGATCTTATGGCGCACAGCGATGCCGCTCATGTCGACAAAGTGGTACTAGTGATACTGAAAATTGATAAATGTAGATAAGCTATCAACAATGAGTTTTAATATATTTTACTTTTTTTAGAGTACTTTTCTTGATGTTATTGTTTAGTTCGACAATGCTTTCGAATCATGCTTTAGTTATAACAAAAATGATACGTTTTTTATACAACCGTAGGCAATTATTTGCGCTTATGTTCCAGTGCTATGATATCTCCCGTAAGAAATACATTGCCTATCTTATCTCCACTGCATTCTGACTGTGACTTTTACTATAGTAAATAAAAACCTAGCCTATTAAGAGCCTTGCATTTCATTCCGTCTTATATTTGTCATTATTACCAAGTTAGAGCAAAAATGCAAAAAACAAAAAAATATATATAAAGATAGGTTAAGTGAGGTTATGACTTTATAGCGAAGATTAAAAACCACAAATTAGGTTAGAAAAAAAGAAAATTTGTTACGTTTTCTTGACTTTAATTTTAATAATTACTTCCGAATAGTACATAGGAACTTGAAATTGATTTTTCTTAATTAACGTTGTTTTCTCCCAAAAACCGTTGACAATAACAAAAATATTATTGCCCAGGTGGCGTAATCCAAACCTCGAGTAATAAATGGCGTGATTAACGCCTTTCTTTATATGTGTGTGTATTTAATATTGTAGATCAGTGTATTTTTCTTGCTCGTCCATTTGAAAATGTACTACTACTGCTAAAATTATTACCGGCCTTTGACGGTCGTCTTATCACAAAAGGTTCTCGTCTTTTTAAACATTAGAAGTGTGTATCAAAAATGTAATATAAATAACTCTTTAAATAATTGTCAACAACTGGCGGAGAGGGTCTGGTTGACAGTTTTTAGTTCATACATATAAAAATAATTTAAAAAAAAATACAAAACTGAAAATTTACAAAATATATTTTTATGATTACGATATTTGAAAGAATATGTTGGGATCAATTCTTACGTAGTCTGTAAATAAAATGCTTTTTAGTGCTAAGGAAATTGTCAGCGATGCCCTTTCTACCTTGCGACTGTTTTAAGCAAGTCTCATAAACAAGGTTTATTCGTATAAATTTCATAAAATATGTCGTTGTTTCCTGTTTAGCTACGCAATGAAAACTATTGAGAAGTGTTTTTTTAAATAATTATCTATTATGTTCAAATAATTATAACTTTTTTAAGTTATTTATGTATTAGGCAGTTCCTTACCATGCAGAATACACAAGTTTTTTTACAATTGTTCGTGATTGCTTCATCTCTAAACCACACCTTAATCACTGCTTCCACCATTTTTGTTTTTGTCGTACAGTCAAATTTTTACAGCTTTGTCTTACGTATTGCCCACAAATGTTCAATAGGATTAAGGTAAGGTGAATTCCCAGGCAAATCAAGAAGGGTAATATTATTATCCTTGAAGTATTTCATCTTAACCTTCGATACATGGCATGGAGCTGAATCTTGTTGAAAAATTGCAGTTACTTCGTCCTGTACTTTGTCAAGCTCTATAACTAAGCGTTGCCCTAGCATGGCTTTGTACTTTTCACTGTTTATCATACCTTCAATAGGAATAAGAGTGCTAGTTCCTAAGTATGAAAAACAGCCCCAGAACATTTTTTTGGTGAGATGTTTAACTGTTTGGTTAATATGGCTAACTGAAAGTGACTCATTGGCTGTCTTTCGTACGAATTTTGATCGCTGGCCCTGCACTAAGAAGTGGTTCTAATCAGAAAATAACACTTTTCTCCAATTTTCTGCACTCCAATAAGCGTATTTTTTGTTGACCAAGGTCATAACTTGTTTTTCTGGGATGAAGTTTCCCATCGCGCAAAAGAAAGGCTTCATCTCGAGGAGTAGTATTCCGTTTTCTTCCACATTTTCCTTTCCGCTGCACGTCAACTGACATTGTTTCCTTTTTTCGTTTATTATTTTGTTTACTGCACCCAAACTTACACAACACTCCTTTGCAATGTCCCTCTGAGTCATTGGTGTATGCTCACTAAGTGTTATGATTCTTTCTCTTTTCCTAGGAGTGATATCCAACTTGCACATAACCTGAGATACAACAAAATATAATAATGATATAAAACACAAAACACGCGTTTTGAAACAATATACTAATAAGGTTTTGAGGTTATGTTGTTTTTGACAACACAGAACAGGCACAGCAGAATAGGCACAGCAGGTGTGCCAACTTATGAAAACTTAATTTCGATCTCTATTCACATTAATTCGCACAATACTGTATTATTATTTTGTAGTTCTTGAGCGTTGCTTATTATTATGACGCTATCATTAGCATACATGATTTTGATTTACAAGTAGTTGATCACGTGTCAGATTTATTGACTATTTTGATTGTTCTTCTAGATATTTGCAAAATGCACTAGAAAAAAAATTAAATTGGGTCCAAGACCTCTCAGTGACAGACTGCTTAGTTGGTAACAAATTTAAGAATTCTCATTAAGAATCATCGAGAGAATCACGGTTGCCTGCATAAGAAGGTTTAAGATCTTTGATATGCCAACACCAAGCTAAGGATCCATTGGGATCTTTCAATCTACGAGAAGTAAGGATCCATTAGGATCTTTCAATCTATGAGAAGTAAAAGTTTTATGCGGACTGTGCACATGTGAAGTTAAGGCCCAATTTTTACATAAAATGCTCAGAAGCTTTTGTAACACTTAATTTTGTCTACAAATCTTCTCATTTTATTCCTTTGTATTTTATTATACCCTAACTTGATTCCCATTTTGACCCTTTTTTTATTAATAGCTTGACGAATTTTGGAGATTTTTTTCCCTAATCAGATAGCAGTACCATGATGGCTTTGAGGCAATGTTTAACAAAATAGCACTGAAAATGCTATCCACTATGCATTTTCCCTAAAAGGTTTGACAAGATACAATTTAGCATTGTGATTAATTCGATTATATGTCGATCTTTTCTCGATTTATTTGTTTGTTTTAAGTTAATTTTGACTTTGCTTGTTACACTCTCATATCTGACAGGAGATACGAATTGCGTAATGATGAAGAAAAAACCTTGTTTATGACGTTTGCCAATTATAAACAGTCTTCAGACATGTCGAAAATTTGCGAGTAGAGGGCTCAAATGGCGTTGCAGTTACAGCTATTAGGGCGCTAAGAATTATATACGTTTGACTGTGATATTTACGTAATCTAAGTAAATCGATAATTTTCGATTATATAGTTCGAAGCTGTAACGGATAAAAGAGAAATATGAGAGACGTAGATAAAAGTACAGTCACGTGACACTAACGCATACGCTTATGCGACGAATATATCTTAGCGTATTTTATTTATACTTAAAAAAAGAGAGTTAAGTTTTTTTTTATATAAAAAAAAACAAAATAGTTTGTAAGGACGATAATTTAAATGTTAGAGTGGGCACGGTCTTCCTCTAGGGAGCTACTACTACCTTTACATGGTTTTTATACTGCGCATGCTCTTCTTTTATACACAATGTAAGTTAATTTTTATAACCTCCACATAGGTTTTATATTTTTATAAATTTAAAATCCATTGTTAGATGCAAAACATGCTATCTACAGTTAATGACAAAATTTAATATTTTTGCTACAAACATCATTCTCTATTATATTTTTGAGTCCACGATTTACAATGTTATAGCGCATTTTGATGCCAATACTAAACAAACAATTGTCAGCTAAAAAGAGGGGTTTTTAGCTGACAGAAGCCACTGAGGGATTATAACAAAGTGTCATGGAATTCTACTTTTCTAGCGGAAGAATGTTCTGCTCTTTCTAATTGTTTCGTATCACATGAATTATGTCATGTCCGATGTGGATAATCGATCCGTTAAATTGATTAGTTATGTCCCATTCCTTGTTGTGGTCTGATCTGTCACAATTTGTTATTTTGAGCTCCTTTTGTAACTTCATATCTTCTGATTTGAATATTACTCTATTGTACTAATTGTAACCAATTTTCTTATTGTTTTGTCAAAACATAACTTAGCGGTTCTTTATATAGTTCGTTTTTTGACCATTATTTTTCCATGATCTTAAGATCGTTTACTTCTAGTACCATTCATCGATCTCGAATTCTTAGTCCCATGGATCTATCTATACAGCCCTTACTGTATAATTTTGGACATAGGTCTCCTCTTCCTTCTTCCACGTCTCTCTATTGTAGGCAGTTTGTGTCCACTTCGGGCCTGCGTGTTTCTTCAAGTCATCTGACTATCTCATTTGTGGCTTTCCTCTTTTTCGTTTGTAACTATATGGTCTCCAGTGTATAATCATCTTATTCCACCTGTCGTCTTCCTGTCCTATGGTATGTCGAGCGAACTTAAGTTTTGTTATCTGCGTTGATACATCGGTCACTTTTGTTTTGTTGCGGATCCAAGTATTTCTTTTCTTGTCTGATAGCCTGATGTTCAGCATTTGTCTTTCCATAGCTCTTTGGGTCTTTGCTATTTTTTCCATGCTTTACTTCCTTGTAAACGTCCAAGTTTGAGAGCCGTAGGTGAGAACAGTAGGTATACATTGGTTGAAGACTCTTGTTTTTAAATATTGGGGGTATTTTCTATTTTTTAGTATATTGGAAAGTTTTCCGAAGGATACCCAAGCCAACCGTATCCTTCTCTTTATTTCTCCGGTCTGATTTCCTTTATTTAATTTAACTGGTCCCAAATATACATATTCTTTTACTTGTTCTATAGTTGTTTGTGCAATTATAATTATTAATTCTTCTGGTTGGTTGGTCATCATTTTCGTTTTATTATAATTTATTTGTATTCCCATGGATATATGTGGCAATAAGCACCTTTTTTTTCTGGTGAGACTCTTTCGTCTGATATTTATTTGGTCGTTAAACTTTTGTACCAAACACTTCCCTTTCATTAAACTTTATCAAGAATGCATGTAATCCTGTGCATTTCTCCTCTTTGCATTTTCATTTCCTTAATCCGAAAAAATTTAAAACTAGCTATATATTAGAGATGGTATTGTAACAAAATATTTTATTCCTAAGCACTTTCTGCAGCAAACATATCAAAGCATATTTTAGAAAGCTTTATCATCGCATTGGCCACTTGCCATAGTCACATCTGATCAAATATTAACAAAAAAAAATGATTTTGTTAACATTTTTAGGTTTGTTTGCGGAGCTGATTCCAAAATCATTGGTTTGTGGACAATATTGATAATATATTTAATGCGCATAATCAATCCCACTATCAGATACATTTGTAATTGCTGTAACCTACTTCCACATAATCTAAAACATAGCAAAAGCTCGATGTTCTAAAAATTTAAGATATTTTGCCGAAACGCCGAAAAATTAAATGCGTATTCGAATCCGCTCCGCAATCCAATCTATACAAATCTTCCGATGTGGTCATACGTAATATAGAATTCAATGTTAGGTTTTGAACAAGTTCTTTCCTTTGTGTCTTGACAGTACTGGGTCTAATATCATAAAATTAAACTTTATAATACAGGGTTCCTCATTTTTGTAAACAGCTACGATCAATGTAGATTTTTGATATTCGACTGAGTACAGTCCGTTTCTAACTACACTCTTCCCAGGTGTTCCCCGAATGCACGGTTTTACTACGGGCATTTTTGTATATTTCTTTTTTTGTATTATTTTTACTTTCTAGTTTTTTATTTATTTATTGGAGTGATAGATTCATATGATTGAATAGAGTAACAATTGAGTGAATGAATACGTGAAATAAGTAAGTGTAAGTGTATGAATATACCAAATATTGTAACGTCATACTTTAAGAACATTTAGATTTCCTTCATGTCATCTACCTGTCAGCTATAAATCAGGTTAGCAACTGGTTTGCTAATAAATTTAACTAAGTTACTCGATTCATTCATCAATTACCTGTGATACGGTTAGAAAAATATGTGCCTATTCTAACTGGATGTGAGCATAATCACATTCTTGAACATTTAAAAGTTATTTGATATAACGTAACGAGGAGCTGTGACTGCAACTTATTGATATACTGTTACCTGGAGGTTGTTATGATACAAACTTATCCAGCTAAGGGTATTTTTTATTAAAGTTTGTCTCATTTCTTCAGGTTGGTTTCGTTGATACAATGTGGAAATATATGAGTTTAAGGGATGGCAAAATGCTCCACAATCCTTTATAAAATTGATAGAGCATTATAATTTTAATGCATTTACACAATTTGTTCTGTTAGAAATGCTGTTACAGCATTTATCAATTAATAAAATATTTAAAGTTCCATTGTTGTTTTATTTATCATATACAAGCTATCTAACAAAAGGGGGTACATCAGGCACTATTGTAGACTATACTACGATCTGGAATTAATGGTATTGAAGTGAAAATTATGGAATGCTATTTGGTTGACTTTATTGGGCTGGGTTGGGCTTCAGCTTATTGGCATTGGAGCAGGGGATGGGAATTATTTCCGTGAAAGACATACCTTTATCACCTACTGTGCTATCATTCAATGGGAAATAAACAATTCGGTTTCAGAGAACTGGGAACAAGGGAAGCTTTGTTCTCAATGCTAACACTACTTCAACGATCATGGGAAGTACCAAAACCAATTTCGTATGGTTTATAGATTTTGAGAAGGCGTTTGATAGGGTTTAACATGGTAGGCTGATTAAATATCTAGAAATGATTGGAATAGTGTAGCGTTTTAAATTTTATAATACGTCCCTGTTCGTTTATCTCGTCAGTACGCATAAAGATTGCCATAAAATCTGTGTTTGTCTTTTACGAAAATCCTTAATGCGTAAATAACGCTGGATATATTTTTTGTCTGTGTACTTTCAAATCCCATAACCTTTTGTTACAAAGTCAGGTAGAACTCCGGTTTAAAAATACGTGCTATTTTGTTAATTTGTATTATGTTATATCTATTTCGACAAGTTTTTTTGTATATAAAGGGATTATAATTTATGATGCCCCCCAATAAAAAAAGAGGTTTTATTTGTCTTTCATCGTTAGGAACAAATAACAGGGGGAAGATTGTTTGTTTTAAGTTTGTGGACGACAGGCTAGCTGTAAGACGGAAGGGAAATTATTTGGCTTTGAATTTGTAAAATGTAACGCGGATGAGGGGTGGACATTTAAGATCCAAGCAGGGCAGACGTGCTACAATGTAGAGTCGAAGAAAAGATTTGAACAGAGGTCGACATTTAAGTTCCAAGCAGGGCAGACGTGTTACAATGTAAGTGGAAGAACAGATTTGAAACGGTGGTAGACGCTTTTGCGGATATATAATGCTGGGGCAATTGTGAATCGAAGAGTCGATTCATTTTTTTAGTAATGTCTTAAGACCAGTTAAAGTGATGATACTCTTTGCTTTGCATAAGCAGCTTTGTCAGAGTGGTCATTGGATTTGAATGGAAACTGGCAATTTTTGAGAAGTATGGTATGGAATGTCCCCGTCGTGAGCTTGATTCCTCCACCAAGTTCCTGTTTAGATCATTCCTGCCTGAGTACGGAAATAGTTTCCTGCTTTCCATTTTGAAAATCTGTCCAAGTAGCTTCCCAGAGATGTAGCAAGTTTTTCCTTTTTAAAGTTAAGTGAAACATGTGAGAAATAAGGTAACTTTTAACATATTAATTTTTTCCCAGTTATAAAGAGATTTTTAATAATTGCTTTCATTAAAATAAAAGGATTTGTAATAATTAAAGTTTTATATTATTTTTGTCGTAGAGGTTAAATTCAATAATATTTTCATAAAAAGGATATCCATAAAATTTTAATAATCTAAATTGGCCATAATAACCTAGAAACCATTTAAAATGTTTGTAGCAATCTTTTATGTAAACAAATAACATGTAAGTTTTTGTTATTTTGTACGATATGTTTCTTTTATAATCTGTATTTTTGATAACTGTTTGAGTTTAACATTATCCCCTGATGTTCTAATGGGTGGTAAAATAAAACATGGATAAAAATACAGGAATATATTTATAAATTAAATACAAATGTTAACAAAACTAAGATATTCTAAGAATGTGTCGCAGCTTTAATAATGGCAGTAAACAAATCAGCATCATCCTGCTGGGTACCAATCCACCACATGCACAGCGCATTCTCGTACTGTGAAGTGCTTCTGCTGTGATGCAGCGGATCCAAAGAATGATGTTGTCCGGAAGCTGTAGCCAAAATTGGTCGATATGGATGAAGACTCACTCCATTACAACAGTCATTGTGCAATGCCATCTGAAATTGGTTTAAAATATCAATAGTGATATTAAAAAAAATAAAAACACAATTACCAATCGTTGATTTGAGGAAAAATGTCACTGTTCCCCTGGCCTACTTAGATTAAAGATAAAAGTGTTTTATTGTTTAGGTAGCAATTAAGAAAAAGACTTATCCTGGCTTTAACTCCTCAGTAACGAAACGGTGATACAAGATATCCTGTAAATATGGCTTACTTATTACAAAACAAAAAAGTTTATTTAAAATATTTTAAAACTGGATCATTTATGCACATCAACAATTAAAATGCTTAGATTAAGTCAACGATTTGCATTATTTTCCTTATTAATGATTAAAACTAGTTTACGATCACAGGGTTTTTTTTATAAAAATTAAGAATCCTTTAATATCTAAAGTTCACTCAGACCTGTTCTAAACTTTCAATGAGTGCTATGTTTTGTAACGACACATTGTTTCCGGATTTATAAGCTGTGATCTCCAATTATTTCTGTTTGGAATTTTCCTCAGAAGCACCCTTAATTAGCCGGAGACAGTCACAGACGTTGCCCTATCGCTTTTGATCGTGTCTGCACATGCCTGTTTGTTCTGGTACAGATCATACTTGATGAAGAAAAATGTATAGCAAACCCATTAGCAGAATATAACAGGCTCTGGTTGCCAATACTAAAAGAAAGTCAGCAATAAGAATAAACCAACATTAGCGGATTAAGAAATAGTGAGAGACACGTCATCTACAACTAACCACATAAACATACAAAAATCAGAAATCCGACGGTACAATATCACCTTCAGAATTTCAACTCAAAACATGGCTATTTGCCTCCAACATCGAGGTCCAATAAGTCACCTGTCAAACTCGCTGAAACAAGTGCCAATTAGTAAACAATTATAGGTTAAAATAACTCATTGTTTTACATAGACATATAATACAAATAGACCGACTGCTGCCATACAGTCGCGTTCCCCCAGTGCGACAGAGAAAACTGAAGGAAAGCAGTCCCTGCATATTTTTCTAATCTGACAGGATTATCGCCCTCGTGACCAATAAGGTCACGTGGCCGATAAACCTGGCCCATTAGAAAGGCAGACTGATTTGCGTAAAACAAAGGAATAATTTACAGAATGTACAAAAACATTAAAATGGTGCAAAGCAGCAGTTCACTATGGACTTATATCAAAAATGCTTGAAATGCGGGTATATCGTAGAATGATGCGCATACCCTGGACAGCACATCGCACAAATGTCTCAATAGATTGTAAAAGAACTCGAGAAAGATCGCCACACCGATGGTCAGACCAAATAAAGTGTGCCGCGCCCAGGAGAGAGAAGAATGGATAGCAACCATTCGTCAAATACCATAATACCATAATGTCACCACATCCTTACGAAGGATGAAGGATAGAGGAGGAAGAGAAGGATATAAGACGCAACCTTGTGGCACTCCTCGTCTGATTCACATATCTTCGAATGTTGTGTGCTCTATTTCAACTGTTGCCATTTGGTGCCAATATAGTTCTGAGATAATTTGCAAATTTTGTTCGTCAATTCCAGTTGTTCTCAGAATTTTGATCATCTTTTGATGGTAAACGCAGTCAAATGCTTTTCGATAATCAATAAAACATGCATTCCCATCTACATTTATGTCTCTGCATCGTTGTGTTAACACATTTACGGCAAAAAGAGCTTCTCGTATTTCCAGTCCATTTCGAAGTTTTTGAATGTTTCAGATTAGAATAATATCCACAAATACATACTAAATTGCCATAAAATACCCTTTATTAAATAGATAATTGGTGTCTGAAAGAGAATCTCTCTGTGAACTAGAAATAACCAATGAGGTCAAGTATCTAGGGGTAACTCTGGATTTCAAACTTGGAGCACTAATATTATAAGCATAATCAAGAGGCTACACGACTCTTCTGAAACTGCAGGCGAGTTGTAGGTAAAACCTGAGTTCTCAGAAAAAAAGTGTCAAGCTATTATGGCACGTTTAAGCCAATACTAGTTTACATGTGTGAAATGTAGATTGATCAAAATAATAAGGAAGAAAATAAAATGAGATTTAAGAAGCATAATAGGTGTAACCTTAGGACACTATATCCATGATGGGAAAACCAGAGAAGAGCTGCAGATTGAACATATTATAAAGCTCATAGAAAGGTCCAAGGACACTAGTAATAATAACAGAATGAATAGGCCAGTGAAGAAAGTTTGACAAACTGTAAGTACCAAAAATAGATTCAGAGAATGATTCTGAAAAGGTGGGACAGTATGTAAAATGTACTTAAAACTAACTTAAGGGCGAGCGCCCACCAAAGTGGCGTGGCAGTGGCAAGTAGCACGCGTCTAGCATAATGTAACCAATGAAAACTAATGACAAAATGACAGTAACGTCATTCATTCTAATCATTCGTTAGGATTGGTTACATTATGCTAGACGCGTGCTACTTGATACTTGCCACTGCCACGCCACTTTGGTGGGCGCTCTCACTAACATGAACACGAAATGTGGTTGCAAATTTTCTTTCCTAACTAAACCTATCTTGTCTACACCTGTACTACCTAAATAGTAGTTAAATTAGATGCATTTGCCGTAATAATTGATGATTTCAAAAGAGACGGCACCCAGCAGGAGAGGTTTTTCTACAGTTTGTTTTATTTATTATATCAATGACAAGATCAGGCTAGATTCGCATGTAAATTTAATCCTTCAGCATTTACAGTGAAAAAGTTGATGATACCTATTCTCTTGACACAATGCGACACATTTATTTTTGATTCCTGACTAATCACAACAATCTCCAAAAGCAAAATAATCCAGTTTTAATCAATCATCCCAAAATGTTATAAAAAAATATATTTAACTAACACATAATACTGGTTGTAGTAACTAAAAGTAAATAAATCTTTCTTTCATTCAACTGCAATAATATATTCGAAATGGTTATTGAACTTACTTGCATATGAACTGTAGGATATGTTTCCTCACTGACATTCCACACTTGGACCTTACCATCTGTCCCGCCAGATACCAACCATTTACCATCAACGCTCAAGTCAATATTGATCTTCTGATTGGTATTAACTTCTCGTGCTAAGCAGAACATAGGTCTACCGGGTACCTAAAAGAACAAAGGATTAGTTTTGGGTAAAGTTAAAAATTTGACTTATCTTTCTTTAAGTGCAGTAGAAGTTTATTTCTTACACGTAGATCCCAGCAAATTACTTCTTTGTCCTTTCGAGCTCCACTGTACAAACGAAAACCATCTAAGGAGAAAGCCATTGTGGTGATACCTCCTTTGTGGCCATTTAATTTGCAAAGATGGCGGAATGAACCATCGCTTTGAGATACCAAGTCAATTGTATTTTTCCATGTACCTGAAAAAGTTCAATAATTAATGGTACTAGCTAAGAATATAGACGCATATAGAAGCACAATTCAAATGGGCAATTTGGTTACAGTTATTATACTTCAAAACAATCCTTAAGAGGGCGACTGCATAAACTCAAACCGTGGTCGTCGGCTTAAAACCATCATGAAAGATGTAGGTAGGGGGAAGTGAGAAAGGAGTACGAACGTAGCTATTTATTTAAAATCCACAAGGAATCTACGTTCCTGTAGTTGGCTGTGTACCATATATTAAAAAATTTTATTAAAAATCCTTTATAAATTTTAAAACTTAAAAAGGTATGAAATTTACAATATTCAAAGTATTTATTTTTTTATTACATGTAAATGAAATTTTATAGCTTTGAATTAAAAATAGGTTTGTTCCAACACTACGAAAAACCGTCATGTAACTTTTTATTATACTGTTTTCTGCCCAAAAATGTACGAAACATTTTTAAAAATTTTCAATAATATGAACGTCATAAATCAGATACTTTTGCTAGCCAGGAAAAAAACCGAGACAAAACTAAGCTTTTTTTAAATTCAGAGGGGGTGTTCCAGCTTCCTTCCGCCTACATCCGCCTTTTTTTATAAATCAAAGTTAAAAACTTTACATTTTTTGAAGCTTTAACACATCAGTGCCATTGCTTCCTTTGGAACGAGGGTGTGGGCAAGAGAGGGGCAATAAATATTTTAAACATTATTACATAGGAAAAGACGTCATTTTCTGGAGCGATAACTGCACTGCTCAGAATAAAAATAAATATCTTCTGTGCATGTACATTTTTGCATAGTGTACATTACAGGTGAAAAGCATTACACATAAGTACTTAATTACAGGCCATACACAAAATGAAGGGGACTCGATGCATGCCTGCATTGAAAGAGAGAAGACAAGACTGCTAAAACAAAGACCCATATATCTTTCCACAGAGTTGGTGTCTGTAATAAAGCTAGTGAAGAAAACAGGTTGACCATACAATGTTACTGAACTAGAAACAAGAGAATTCTTGGAATGGAAACTGCTGTCAGAAAATATTGGCAAAAACTAATGTTGGTAATACAGGATCAAAATGTGTGTGGAACAACCATCGAGCAAAAAGACAAAAGAGGGAATGTAAAGGTAGTGGGGACAAAAATATTGTTAGACAGGAAATGCTATCTTGAGAGGCCACTTTAAACAAGGAAAGACAGTCTCTTTCCTTGTTTAAGAAATCAAATTTAGTTTGGGTATGTTATTTTTTGTCCCAACTGTCACATGATATTTTATTTATATTGAAGTTTTTTACCAATTGTGTCACTTTTTAGACTATTATCGTTAATATTTAATTAAAACTTTCTCGTCTGAAAAATATTTTATAGCTATTGTTAATAAGTGTCGGAAAATTTAAATTTAGCGCCATTGCATTTCCGGATATGTCCGCCATCAGAGGCCACTTTTTTGGTCTCCTTTTCATAACGATTAGATTCCCTCTTTTGTCTTTTTGCTCGATGGAACAACACTAAAGCTATAAAAATAACTGCTGACAACCCTTACAACATTTTTTACAAAACAAGCTTTTCTGACCAACACTTTGAAAAACACATTGATGTAAAATACAAAATGCTTGGTTGCAGAACTAGCTGCGAGAATTTACACCTACAGCCAGCCTACACTGCCCCTCCTTCAATCCCTGAAAATAAAAAAAAAGGATTTGTTGGAATTATGCAGATCCAGAGGAATCTCAAAACAACATCACCTTTTTTTGAGAATTTGAAGTAAATTTTATCATATTAATTTTAAGTAGTTTGTATTAGAAATTAAGTTTTTTAATTTTAAGTTGTAAAAATTAAACATGTCTGTTAAATAACATTTTGTTTACTCTACACTAGTCCCTATAAAAAATGAGTCATTGTGAATATTACCTCAATCCAGACTACCTATGTTAATGAAGCAGTAGGATATTTTACAAAAACCTGTTTTTTCTGTGTTTCTGTGTTACAGATAAAATTGTTAGAAAATTTAAAGCTTGTGCTCGAATATTATGAGACTAATTATCCAATAAAAATAAGCTTTTAGTCACCTATTTCTGATTTTTAATATGACATACAAACTTTAATCCTCATTATCTTGTAATTTTAATTTGACATAAATCACTGTTACTTTCAGTCATCGATATATCATTTTGAGAATAAAAACATGATGTAACTTTTATTTGGAAATACCATTAGAAAGAGATTTTATTATATTAAAAACCATAAGAAATTTATCTTGAAATGGCCAAAGAGATGGTCACTAGTTAGAGGGGTCCTTAGCTGTATACAAATTGTAGGTGAGAGGCAGTTAAATTTAAGTTTAAGCTATATTGTACAAGTAAATTCGTTGTATAATAAAATTGTATACAAAGGAAGTACAGATTTGGTTTTAACATTACTATATAATATTTGGACAATAAAAATTTTTAATCTTTTTGCAATATTCTCATAAGCACAATATCAATTATTATTGTTTGTATTACATTACCTATGGCTACTATTCCAGGTTGTGCTGGACTTGCTACTAGACAAGAAACTTGGTGTGATACTGGATATTCGACGAAATCCCTACCAGGTCTACCTGTGGCAAAAATTTTAACATTTTTCTTATATCCGCAAAATATATTCTGCCCATCTGCGGAAAATGTGACACTAATGGCTGGTTCTACCTCATCTTGATTGTTGTAACCTCTATATGTACATCTTAGATCTCCAGAAAATGCATCCCACAGATGTATTGGCCCACTATGACCACTAGATAACCAACTAAAAGAAAACTAGGTTTAATACTTTTAGAAATAGACAGGTAATTGATGTACCTACTACACCAGACTTTGAATTTAGAAAATTCTCCATGTTATACCAAGTCTGAAAATCGTTCATAAAGTCAATTATATTTTATTTTGTTTTGTTTAAATATTTTTAACAAACTTTAATATGTATGTAATGTTAAATATGTGTAAGTTGTACAGAGATAACACAAGAATGCAAATATTTTGTCTTATATACAATTTTCCCCCTAACTCCCTAATATACTTTTACATGAGTTTAAAAAATATTTCAAAACAACTTAAAATGACTTATTAAATCTAGTGAGAACTAATCTCAGAAGACAACAGCCCAACAGCCCGAAAAAACAATTTAATAAGTTAGACGATGGCTGTGAAAGCCTAATGCAGTTTATCAACTTAAAATGAGTTACAGAAAAGTGACATATTATCCGTATTTGGTTGGAAACATTCTCTTTGGCAATAGTGTTTTTGTTTGTTGGATGTAAGTCTCATATTTGTTTTCACTTCTATTTTTAACAATTCCACCAAGAGTAATCAGTTTCCGGTTTTAGGAATTGGTCTTCTTTTGTTTACATAATGTATCATAAATATATTATCAACTATTATTGCACTAACAATAAATTGTTTGGTGTACCTTATAGTATTTAGTATATCAGTAAAACAGCTGAATTTTATCATTTGCTTTCTTTCTCTCTCCTTCTCTCTGAAGATAACATGAACATGACAGTTCAAATTGCAGTTCAGTCAATTGTTTAGGTGATAACTTAAGTGTTTTTTTTTTATTTTAAGTTTCAACATTATTTTATACACACTAATAATTTTGACAGCCAATTGTTTATGAGTATTAAATGTAACCCAAAAGCCAAGTGTGACTCAATCTTACAGTAAGTCACAATGCATGTTGTGGTCTTATTTAATGTATACAGATCCTTTATACCCAATTTCAAATGCCCTTCATGAAATTAGTTATAATCATGATTAAATATGAAATACCAGAGAATAAACTCAAGTGATATACTGTGATTATAATTCATCACTACAAGTACAAGAAATTTGATCGGTACACTGTTTGTGATAATTGATGTTGAAAATATCAAAAATTATGATATAAATATTCATTGTAATACCATTTTTTGTTTTGTTTATGTCACAGATCATTTAAATCTGGAAATATCTGTTGTAGTCTAGGTGGGACTTGTTTTGAATTGGGCATTTACCATAACAGTCTATTTTCTGCTGGAATCACATCAGAATGTACCTTGTATCAATAATCATGATATGTGTTAAACACATGTTGTCTGCTTTTCGACAAATTCTACCTATATTTTCAAAATAAATTATTGTTTGCATAGATGGATGTAAATATATATCTATAAGAAAGTGAAAAGTGCAAAGAAAGTATAGAGTCAGCTAGTATTCAAAATAACATTTGACCATGTTATTTATTCCATGTATATTTGGGTCAAATACACAAAACATTTTAAAGAAAATACCTGATGGTTCAAAAAGCAGGTAAGATAGTTCCTGACTACTCAAAAAGCAGGTGACAAATGAATATAAAAATGATATATTACGATCTAGTTGAAGAAGGTATAATTTTCACTAAAATTTGGTTTGTATATAAGTAGATACCACTTGATAAACAATGCCACTGCTATGTTTTGTAAGAGCATTCAGCCCTGAAGGAACTCATAATAACACATTATTCCGAATAAACATGTGGGAGAAAAAAGTTCAGAAATTACATGTATTTTTTATCCAGATATAAATTATTGAGGAAAAGTAATAGATCACTAAATTTTTTTCACAAAAAATGTAAGATAATGATAGATTTTAATAGATTACTACTTGGGATAGACTTTAACCTATAAATTTTGTCATATTGTTAAAAATGTAAAATATTTCCAATTTTTAAAAAGTTTCTAACTAATGTGTACTAACCGTTCATATGTATTTTTGGTATTTATCATTGAAAATCATAAATGGAGATACCACACAGAAATCTAAAGGATAAGAAGAGGTCCTGAAACTGTTTTCTGGTGACATATTAACATTATATTATGAAAACAAGTAAATAAAAAGAGAAAACTAAAGGAAGAATAGTAGATAGAAAAGGAAATAGCAAAACTAAAATAGCAAGTTGTAGGAGACATCATCGGATATAAAAATGGTAGGTGGAATAATATAATCATACAATGGAGACCTTGGTCAACAGAAATGGAGAAAGAAAACCACAAATCTGATGGGGAAACGATCTAAAAAAATCACAAATCAGATGTGGATGAGTATAGAAAGAAACAGAGAAGAACATACAAAATTATGGGAGGCTTATGTCAAATAATTTTAATATTGGGTGAATAAAGCTGATAGAGAGCTGAATTGGGAAAAATTAATAATTTAATACTGATGGTGAGGGTTATGTTTAATAAATACAATTAAAATATTGGAAAAAACTTCATTAATACCTGCTGCATAAAAATTGTATAACTGGATAGGTTGATAGTTAAGTTTGTTGATTTGAGTTCGGATGTTGAAAGAAATTCATCAAGAACATAACACAAAATTGGAATTACACAGCAAGGGCAAAATCGATGCTATATATTTTTAATATTCACTACAGTAAGGAGAAAATGTAGAGATAAACAAAACACGGCAGGCTGTCTATTATTTCATGATTAGAAAATCAGATATAAGATTGCAATAAAATATTAAAATCATAAATGTTTTTATTAAAAATTAGGTTGAGTTTACTGAAAGTACAAGTTGAATATAGCCGTAAATGTCAAAAATATTTCGGTTTGGCAGTTTTGGCATGTTTTTACAATGCATATTTGTATGATTCAAATATAAAGAGATAAAGCTTTTAAAAAGTACATTTTGATTATACTATTTTATGAATTATGTAAGTTTTAATTTATATGAAGCAATAACGAGTAGATATTTGTCTCTTTCGAGATTAATTGCAAACATCTGTTGTACTATGGCAACTGCTGATTTGACAATTGTCCAATCTATCCCCTAATCTATCAAAAGGTAATTGCTAAAAACTTTCTAATAATTGAAGGGGTGAGTGGATGAAGGGAGTAAGTGACATTTTTTAAGAAAATGAGTTATTCGCATGGATGAAGGTGGTAAGTGCTAACTTAAATTTTCCACTTATCCCCAGCCTTCTATGATTTAAAATAATTGAGATAGCCAGCGTATGAAGGAGGTAATTGACCATACTACTTTAAATATCTAGTGAATGAAGGAGGTAAGTAACAAGATAAAGTACTTACCTCCTTCATCCATACCACAGAGAATAAAAATTGTGACATACCTCCTTCATGTATTCGTCAGCTGACATCGGATGACAACAAATTAAAGTTTTTAGGTTATGTGCAAGTGCAACACCCGCTACTGCTTGTGTTAGTGTTCTTAGCTGTTTTAGTTTATTTAATTAGTTATAAAGTGATTTATTATGACTAGTACTAGGGGAAAATTTTTGACAGACTTGGCTTTACAACAATTACAACAAGAATCCACTATTACAGAAGAAGTTGGTGATAATGAAACCAAGATATCAGGTAAATATTATTCTTTAGTAGTTTCAAGTATTTTGCAAAATATTAATTTTAATTGATTGATTTTCATTTATTTAAAGATAAGCCAAGTTTTTACATTACGTCTAGCCTACAATCTAAGTCTAGGCCTATGTAACTTGCAAAGCATCGGCACGTCTTATGCTGTTGTTTACAAAAAGTTTATTTGGGCTGTAAGCCTACTAGAATGCTTTTAATGACACCGAATTTTGTAAATCAATAAAAATCCATTAGTATTGATAAAATCATATTTTCATTAAGCGCTAAATTAAATATCAACATCATAATAAAACGGCAACATTAGTGATATCATTTTTTTCAGATTCAAATATAGCCAAAGAACATAAAAACCTACTGGATGGCTCTAGTATCTACATTCAACCTTGTAGCTCAAATTATCAGAATCATTCTGATGAACTAGAACTGAAAATCCAAGGTACAGAACGTACACGACCATCCAACAAAAACAAACATGGAGTTTACAAAAAACTACGTAAGTACATTAGAAATACATATTATTTGAACAATGGGCTAGTTAAAAAAATCTAATGAAATGGTAAGGTGGTATTAGAACTCTGATGTCTCACTCTGGGTGAGTGTCTTAACCAATTACACTATCCGACCCACGTGATTGTTGCCTTCAAATGTGGTACTTAGCTTATTTAACAGTAATTATTTTCTGTTAATCATTGACTGTCAATAGGGACTTAAATCAGCAGACCAGATTAATAACTAATGTTTTGTTTTTCTTAACAGCTGAAATTAAACCAGGCAAATTTAGGCTTATGCTAATGTTCTGTTTTAGATTACGGAGAAAAACTTGATTCAGATGATGAAAGCCTTTCATCATTATTTAGTGATGACTCAAGAGATGAATACGTTCCTAATGAAAATGAGAAAGATGATATCGAATCAGATGAGGATGGAAATGAGGAAGGCAATAAGGAAGTGGTGAGTGAAGAAACTGAAAATGAGATTATGAATGATGGCAATATACATTTTGAACTACAAGTAAACGGAAATATTCCATATGATGAGATCGTTGCCCTTCCTGAAAATGGAAATGAAGAGGCTCTTAACTTGCCCACTAAAAGCAAGAAGAAAATATTTCCACTAAAAGTAAAAGTAACTAGAAAAAGACAGAAAAATATTGAACAATGGAAAGCACGAAAACGTGCCAAGTGCAGAGAAAGTGGTCTGGCCTACATTTCTAAAATAGGCCAAGTAAAACCCGCTAAAACCGTTAACTCTGGGATTTTGTGCAATGAAAATTGCCGCTACAAGTGTTCTCAGTCAATAACTGTAGAAGAAAGGGAATCTATATTTTCTTCCTACTACAAACTAGATGTAAATGCAAAAAACTGCCTTCTTTTTAAGAGCATTAAAAAAAAGGAACCAATGAGAAAGAAAACTGGAGCATTAAAGCATAAAACTGCCACCTACCAATACAATGTAACTTGTAGTGGCCGGCAAACTACCGTATGCAAACGGGCTTTCATTTCCTTGTTTGCAATCAGCTTGAAAAAGGTTGACCTGATCCAAACTTCAATAAAATCAGGGAAAAATGCTCCTGAACCGGACAGAAGGGGAAAACACGCAGTTAGACCTAACAAGACCCCTGCTGAAGTTGCTTCTTACGTCATTGAGCATATTTCCAGTTTCCCAGCAGAAGAGTCGCACTACTCCAGGCATTGTAATATTCACAAAAAATATCTTTCACCGCAACTTTCGATCCCTAGAATGCATAAACTTTACCTAGACAAATGCCGAACTGACGGAAGAAATGAAAAATTTCAAATAAAAGAGGCTACATACCGATTCATTTTTAATAATGAATTTAATCTGTCTTTTGGTTATCCCAAAAGCGATACATGTAGCACATGCGATTCTGGCAAAAGTAATGAAGAGCACGCTGAAAATTACAAATCAGCGTTTGAATCTCAAAAAACAGATAGAGAATTTGTTAGCAAATCAGATAACACTGTGTATGTAACATTGGATCTACAGCAAACTATGCCCCTACCTAGGCTTAGTACCTCTAAAGCCTTTTATCTTAGACAAATGTGGTTTTATAACTTGGGAATCCACATAATAACCAAAAATGTGGAAAAAACTGTTTTCTGCACATGGACGGAAAATCAAGCTTCCAGAGGTAGCTCGGAAATTTTTAGTTGTTTTCTACGAACAATCGAAGTGGATCCAGCCTTCAAAGGAAAAGATCATCTTATTTTGTGGACGGACTCGTGTGCTGGGCAAAATAAAAATTTTTTGATGGTATGTTTGTTTCAGTATCTTGTGGGCAAAGGCATTTTTAAAACGATTGAGCACAAGTTTCCAGAGGTAGGACACTCATACTTAGACTCGGATAGAGCATTTGGACGTATTGAGAAACAGCTAAAGAAACATCAAAACATTTATATTCCTGATGAATATCGTGATGTGATTATTTTTTCAACCAAGAAAAATATGGTGATAGACATGCAACATCACTTTAGACACACCGAAAATATTATGAAAAATATGAAACTAATGAATAGAAAAAAAGATCTTCTTAATGAAAAGGTTAATTTCAAAACTGGAATCAAGTGGATTCGCGTAGATGTCTTTGGATCATACCTTTTCAAGGAGTCCTACGATTATTACACACCTTTCAAAATGGTATGTATCCTCAAGCAGAAAAATTTCCCATCCCTTCTACCTGAAGAATTCAACATTCCAAGACATATCCAATATACTGGATCCTTAAGCAACGAAAAGTTAGACAATCTAAAAGAACAGCTTTGCTTCATTCCAGAAAAAGATAAGTGGTATTATGAAGCCATCATAGAGCAACGACAATTTTAAGAAGGTGATACAATATCCTTAGACTGATTCAAAAGATGCTTAGAAATTCAGTGTTTGTCACCCCTTTGTAAAATCAAAAATATAAGTGTTTACTTGACATCCATGTTATTTTTTTTCTGATTATAGCGCTTATTCAAAAGAAAAAGCAAATATTTATCCTAGATGAAGGAGGTAAGTCCACATACCCCCTTCATTTTGGCATAGACATAATTTCTAACACAAAAAAGTTTTTGGATAAAAGAGGTAAGTACAAATATATATTTTTCAAATAAGTTTTTAAAAATCGGGGAGATTTTTGTTTTTTACAATAAAATTTATACATATCCTACCTGTGAGAATAAAAAAAAAACGGTTTAAAAAATCTATTAATAAAAAAGTTCCAGCAATAAAACTTTGGAGTTAAATTTCTCAAAAACTTACTTTTGTTACTTACTCCCTTCATCCACTCACCCCTTCAATTAACTGCAATTAATCTCTACAGAAACAAATATTAACTCATTGCTGTTTTATATAAATCAAAAATTGCAGAATTCATAACATAATATAAACAAAATGTACTTTTCTAAAGCTTGATCTTTTTATATTTGAAGCATATAGATCTACACTATAAAAACATGTCAACACTGCTATACCGAAATTTTTTGTTCCATGTTTGACATTTGCAGCTAATATGAGCTTGTACTTTCGGTAAACTCAATCAAAAATTATTAGACCACTAAAATATTATTGATTTGTAACAATAGTGAACAAAATATAAACAAAATGCAACCTATACACATTAATATGACCAATATATGTAGTTGTCATAGAGATATAATACAAAATAGGCTGACTGCTTTAATACAGTAGTGTTTCCCAAGTGCAGCAGAGAAACCTGACACAAAGCAGTCCATGCATCTCTGTCTATTTTACTAGGTTTATTGATCACATGACCTAAATGACCAATAAGGAGGTCACATGATCGATAAACCTGGCCCGTTAGAAAGAGATATAGGGACTGCTTTGTGTGCACTAGGGGAACAGGCTGGTATTGCAACAATCAGTCTATCTTGTATTATAAGGCTATGGTGGTTGTAGTAGCATTTTTGCTATTCACCATCACCTCTACTATAATCATAGCACTGCATATATATTTTCACCTCACCTATTATAATGAATGATAATTGTCAAAAATAGATTAGCCACATGTAAAATAGTTATTACATTCCCATTTAAATGTAAATTATCATTAACTTACCAACATGTAGCTGGGTTACTACTATTCATACCAGGATACCAACAATAATCATATATGAGACCTGCTTCAGGAACACTCACTGCTGGAATTAAAGGAACAATAGGCCTACAACTACCAACTGTTTCTCCCGTATATAAATCATTGGGCAACTCCATAACATGCATACCGGCTCCTCTAACTATTGTGAGTAAACAAGTACCGTCTGGGGACCACTTGCAACCCCTAAGATAATGTTGATCATCATAGTTTGGCCACTGAGCTCTGGCTAATTCTAAAGCAGAGTTTTTAAAATTGTATTCGGCATACTGAAACGTTGAAGCATAAGGGACAGCACTGCTTTCATAAACAGCTTCAGTCATTGTAGTCATTGAATACGCCTAAAAAAGGTATTAAGAGCCTACAAAGAAATTATGACAGAACTGCTTCACTAGAGTTGTATTTATCGGAAGAAATATCTGGGATGTTAATAAAATTTAGTTTTTTCCGCAATCATCTTTATATTGTCAAACTGAAAACTAATACAAAAATCCCTCTATTCAAATATATGTGCACCGAAAATTGAGAAACCTCAACACAAAATTATTTACCGTACTCGTACTGGTTTATAAAAAACTGCATGTAAGTCAACTTCACTTGTCAATTAACAACATGGAACATTATATAGCATTTTTCATATAAATATGCTTGCACGTCATTCAAGATTTACGACGTCAGAACCCCACAGCGTTGCCAAAACAAGTAAGGAATTTTTAAAATGTCAACTATTTCTCAAACTATTATATTAACAGTAAATACACTTAGTTTTAAGCAATGACGTATAATATAATATAGACTCGATGAACGCTTTAAAAAGTGTCCACAACATTAATACCTTTATTATTGTTTTGATGCGAAGATGCACGAAGTTCATAATTTCTTACGAAGCATCACGAAGTTGATCTTGTGTTTGAAAACATGTTCGCCATTTTGTGTGTTCACATATTTTATGTGACAAGCAAATTTTATTTTAAATTGTTGAGAGTTTTTTACTGACTATTTTAGTAAAATACCATACTATTTTATAAAAAATATTTTTTTCTCTTATAGACGGGAACAAAAAAAAAATCATAAATATTTAATTTTAATTAAAAAAATAATTATTGTCATTAAAATATAAATTAGCACGCCGCTGTTCTGGTAAACAAACATACCTTCAACCTTGAGCGGAGATCTTTCGGACACCCGATTACATAGCGAGAATACGGGACTGCTTTGTCTAGATATTATACGTCATTGGTTTTAAGACTACTGCAACCAATGACGTATAATATATAGACTACGCAGTCCCCTATTCTCGCTATAGAATCGAGTGTCCGAAAGTTCTCGGCTCAAGGTTGAAGGTATGTTTAACAGAACAGCGGCGTGCTCATTTATATGTTAATGACAATAATTATTTTTTTAATTAAAATTAAATATTTATGATTTCTTTTTGTTCCCGTCTATAAAAGAAATAATTATTTTGATAAAATAGTCTGGCATTTTACTAAAATAGTAAGTAAATAACTCTCAACAATTTAAAATAAAATTTGCTTGTCACACAAAACGGAGAAAATGTTTTCATACGTCCATGATGTTTTCAAACACAAGATCAACTTCGTGATGTTTCGTAAGAAATCATGAACTTCGTGCATCTTCGTATCAAAACAATAAACAATAACAAAGGTATTCATGTTTTGGACACTTTTTAAAGCGTTCACCGAGTCTATATATTATACGTCATTGACTGCAACACACTAAAATACATAAGAATACCTCATTTAGGGTTTTAATAGTAAAAACGTCCCGCCATTATTTCTTGTTCAAAATAATCTATCTTATATATATCTCAGACAATTTTTTTTATCATAGCACAATCACAATACATAACAATAATTATTTTTGCTATATTAAAATATTAAAGCTATTATTCTAAATTTAATATGTATTGTATTTATAAATACAATTTATTAATATATATAATATTATGATCAAATTTTGTAAGAAATCAAAATATAAACAAAATTCTTACTCTAAAAAAGCGGCATAAAGCTTTAGAAAAGTTCATTTTGATTATGTTGTGTTATGAATTTTACAATTTTTGGTTTGTATAAAACAATAATATGTTTCATTTAATTTGTATAAATGCATTATAAAGCGTTTTTATCAAGAACATTTGTTCGGAACACACTGTAACTGTAATCGAACGAAGGTAAAATTTTGGCATAAATTGGTAACGCTTATTTGACAGTTGCGGTGTTGACACTTTTTGTACTTCATTATTTTGAATTTTAAAGTGAATATCTCTTTTTTTATATTTTTAACTATCTAATAAAATCTGTTCTTTTTAGAACAAAATTAGTGTGTTTTATTTCAAAAATGTCACGTAAGAATTTAAATAGTCGTTGTAAAGAGATAGTAATACTTTTGCAATAATTATGTAATCTATTTGATTCAAAATGGAGTCAGGATTTTTTTATACTTTGGCAACTATGTCAACTTCGCTCTCTGACGTAGATAATGACGTAAGTCGTTATCTAAATTAGGTGAAGTATATATAATATAATAAAACATCCGAACCACAGAATAATAAACAAACAGAATACCCACTCTCCACAGAAAATTAAGTACGCGCATCTCCTCCGCGCAGACGTTCCGCCATGTTTTAGGAGGATTTTAAAGAAATTAGTGTTGTTTATGTGGTGTGTATGGAAAAATTAACCAGGTTTATTTGACTTACGGCAATCATAGACATACTATACAATTATATTAACATTGTTAAATATAATAACATAAATATAATATAATTAAACATAAATATAAACAATTACATAACCACACAAATCATATGTCTGTGTCCTCCTAAAACATGGCGCGCGTGCTGAAAAACTTCAAAGGCGGCATCTGAGAGTGGCCCTTCTGATTGCTTATTATTCTGTGTCCGAACACTGCCAAACCACAGAATGCCAAACCCAAATATTTTATTTCATGGTTGACATTTGCAGTTTATTTCTCTATGACTTGACTTGTACTTGTACCACAGAATAATAAACAAATAATTGTTTATTATTCTGTGCTTGTACTTTCTGTAAAGTGCTAAGCTAAACACAACACAGATCACCCACGTGCTAAAGTGTAAACAAAGAATATAGACGCTGCTTCTATATTCTTTGGTGTAAACTAACCTCTTTCGGTTTTATTTGGGCTTTATTCAAGCAGAGTAAAAATTAAACTTAACTACAATTAAAATTAAATTAAACATGTCATCAAGTGAGAGTGAAATTAGTAAACCGAAAATGAAAAAAATTAAATATTTCCAAAAGTATAAAGAAGAATGGGAAAAATTACCAGAGTTTGTAGGATGGTTGAAAAAGAGTACCAAAGGTGAACTTGCATTTTGTAAAAGTTGTAATAAAGACATTAATATAAAAAGTGGAAAGGACTCAATTATTAAACATTCTAATACAAATATTCACAAACAAAAATGTAACGCTATTGCTACACAGAGACCAATTACTAGGTTTATGAAAACGGGTATATCTTCTAAAACACTAGAAGAATCTTCTAAAACACTAGAAGACTCTCCTAAAACACTAGAAGAAGAAATAAAAGAAGGTAAGTCATACTTATTTACTACAAACAGTATATTTTTCAAGGTATTAAACAGATTCATATTTTAGCGAAAATACGTTTGGAAGCATTTATTGCAAAACATAATTTACCACCTTGCGCTATAGAACATCTCCCACATTTAATTAAAAAAATTCTTCCCGATTCTAAAATTGCTGAGGGACTAGCATCTAGTTGGACGAAGACTTCAGCGATAGAGTAAATGTTTAGGATGTGAAAGTTTTCAATTATCTTGTCAAGAATTAGGATGAAAGAAATTTTTTTTTGATCATCAATGAATCAACAGATTAATCCACATATGTACAATGAAACATTTATGTTTAGTGGTTAGGTATGTTAATGACAATAATAGTTTTGAATAAAAATAAACTTGTGTAATAACTTTTTTTAATAACAATGAAATTCCATATAAGGATAACTTAATAGGGTTTACATCAGATGGTGCCAATGTTATGGTTGGCTCTAACAATTCACTAATGACATTATTAATACGTGATATAACCTCATTATTTGTTATGAAATGCATATGCCATTCTTTCCATTTATGTGCATCTTAGTCATTTGAAAAATTGCTGAGGAAGCATGAAGCTTCTTGTGAAAGATCTTACCAGAGATATATACAATTGTTTTGGTGGCAGAATTTCAAACATTTTGTGGCCTTAAAATTCATAAAATCCTGCATCCTTTGCAAACACGATGGCTATCGATACATAGTGTGGTTTGTAGAATTTTAGAGCAATATGCAGCACTACAGTTATTTTTTACTGACTGTGTAGCAAATAATCATCTATTATCTGCAGAAAACATTTTACAGAAACTAAATGATCCTTGTACAAAGTTATTTTTGCTGTTTCTGGAGTTTAATACTATTAACAAAGAAATGAATCAGAATGTCCAAAATTGTACAATTTATATAACAGTGTTACAAGCATGGGTCGAAAGGTCGAAATTCCCTTTGTCCCCAACCATTAATCCATCACATTCTACTGTAGTAGGCACAGTAAACTGTGCAGGAGTTCATTGAAAAAGAGCTCCAATCAAAAATCTTTTTACCACCCATACCTATACAAACGTCCCCAGGAGAATGCTCTAAGACCTTCTTCTAGAGCTGCCCATTTCTAGAATCACCTATAAAGAAGACACTTTCTTCAATCACCATGGAATGTCCATAGTCGACCATATCTTTTGCACAAACAAAATGTTAGATAGGTTTGACGGTGAATGTTTCATTGGAGCTTCAATATCCTCTTACCACCTCCAACTTCTAGTCAAAATTGCCTTCAATTCTCCTCCAGCCATAAGAACTGCTATCTACAGGCAAGATTATCGTAAAGCAAATTGAGAACTTTTCCAAGAACACATCAACCAAAACCTCCCAGAGTTAGGCAATATCGTCGGGTTAGTGCTTATTTGTTCCATACCACATTTTCCACTTTTCGGGTTAGAAGTTGTAATGAAACATTACCAACATAATAATTTATATAATTTGGCCCTGATAACTCTAACAGCTAAGACTTTCCTGTAATACCTCTGTAACTTTGTGCCATATGATTATTTTATGGGTTATTTCAGTGCTTAAGTGTTCCATATGCAAAGGCCAATAGGAAGCCAGTGTTTCACATGCGCATTCGGTGCTTGTTTGTGCCATGCCAGTGTTATGCAGTTAGTTGAGGTTAACGTATCTTACTTCTTGTATGATGGCGACTGGATGTGATAAAAAAAAGTATAAAACGGGTAAGTAAATGCATATATTATTTATTTACATGTGTAAAAATGTATACATATTATCTATTTAATGATGTGTTCCTCACTATATTACCAAATTTAATAATATCAATGTCTCAGAATAAGAATTTGGCATGTGGAACAAATAAGCACTAATTTGACAAGATTTCTGCCAGGAGAGCGTAAAAACTCATGTAATTTTTTGTTACAGAGTGGATATGGATCGTAAACAAATTACCGCTATAAAAAGAAATCTATTTGAGACGATTCCCGATGTTTCTAAGTCCCGATGTTTTGATGATTCGACAATATTGCAATGTCTGAATGTTCGTCCCCTGCGCCGTCATTACCTACTGATGTCGAGAATAAGTTTGATAGTGACGATTAAGTCTGGGATCCTGATTATAGTGCAAAACCACTCAGAAAAAAATTTTGACCTTAACAGTGATTCAAGTTCAACTTCTTCTAATGGAAACAGACAAAATACAGAGAGTTCTACAAAAATGGTGTCAGAATGTGCCGAAAAATGTACAGAAGAAAGCTTAGCAGAAAATAACATGGAAAATCAAGATGTCTCAGCAAGCAGCAAGAAGACTTCTAAAAAAACAAGAATGCGATTGAGAAATCCTTCGAACTGGACTAGAAATGTGAAAAAAGTTTAACGAGAACAGTAGCTTCAATATAAGAAGAAAAAGGAGTTGTCCATGCTCCAAGGCAATGACAATACAAGTGTGTGAAATCTTGTACCCATCAATGTATTAAAAAAATTAATACGCACGAAAGGGAAGTTATATTTAAAAAATTTTTGGCAGCTAAGTGTAGCAAAAAAGACGCATTTTATTCAAAATTTGTAAAAAAAGTTCACCAAAACGAAGGTATGTGAAAACAGAAAATATTTCGGACTGCCAGAAACAAAATTCGTTTTAATATAACCTTGAGGTTTTAAATAAGCAAATCAGAGTATGTAGGGAATTTTTTTAACTACTCTAAACATTAGTAAACAGAGAATTTATTATTTCTTTAAAAAACACTATAAGGATTACTCAGGGATTGCTTAGACCCATTTGAAAGGAAAATACGTAAAGAAAGTCTTACCATTAGAAGCTCTAGATGGGGTACGGAAACATATTGAGTCATTCCCCCGTATAGAGTCTGATTACTGTCGATCAGATCGTGTTATTCGTAGATTGTATTTAGATCTGTGTCTCTCTATTGAAAAAACGTATCGACTATACCTAGAAAGTGACGTTAGTAAAATGTACAGAACAATATTTTCTTCTCCAAATAAATAATTTTATTTCTTCTAACTGCAAGTATTTGTTTCAATTACGTTATGAGTAGGAAGAATAGTAGTTCTAGTTTTTCTACTGCAAAGAATATTTAACATTTATTTACTGTTTGTGTCACATGCACATATTTTGATTATTAATAAATTTTAAAAGCAAAAAAGAGTTTCCTTTTTGATGTATCCTTGTATAAAAAAATGTGCAGTAATATAAGGTTCATTCTTTTAAATACAATATTATTCATTTATTTCAGTTACATGACGTGTACCTGCGGCGAAGAATGTTTTACTTTTTGTTTCACATAAATATGTTTTAATTCTTAATAAATTTTGAAAACAAAAAGCAGTTTTCTTTTTGATGTACCCTTGTATTTTTTCAAAGGTTCAGTAATATAAGATCAGAAATATTGTAATAAACTGTGATCTAACTGTAGAATGATACATAAGATATATAGAAACGCAAACTAAACTATTTTACTTAAAATGTTATTATATAATTCAGTTTTGTACTTCATTGCATATGGAACAAATGTGCAAATTCCTGTACTAGTTTTACCTTTTGTTCCATAAGCAAAGGTTTTTATTTTTTTTTCTCAAATTTAAGAAGAGTCAGTAAAAATTTGAAGTCATAATCCAGCACACCATTTTAAATATTTTTTTTTAGAATTAACATAATTTTCCTGAGTTTTAAAATAAACGAGTAAATACTACCAAAATATTTAAATGTAAATATCTCAAAATGAGAATTTGGCATATGGAACAAATAAGTACTAGCCCGACGATATGTCAACACATAACCAATTTGTCTCAGGGATTTCCAAAATTGAGAAGCTTCTTCAAGAAGCCTTATCCATTGCTATTCCAATAACACGATATAATCTATATATTCCAGCTCTCGTAAAATGATGAGAGAGTATAAAAGATCCGAGACTCCCTCATCAAAGCAGAGTATAACAGGCTTTCGGCATCGATAAGGTCGGAAGTAAACATCATCATCATAATTTGGCTTTACTCTGTGAGTCTTGGCAGCATTTACTATTTCCCTCCATTGTTGTCGGTCCTGAGCAGTTATTTCCCATTGCTGTATTCCCATTTTGCGTATCACTGGCTACTGCGTCCTTCAGGTCCTTAAGTAAAACAGTGGATGCGTGTCACGGCCAACCAGGACTACCGAGAGTGTGCTAAATTCTGGAACCAATTCAAAGTCCTAACGAAGTCAAAAATGTCAGCCACATTCACATCTCACAGTCAATAACATCATTCTTAGTAATCCACAAGACAAGGCCGAAACCTTTAAAAATACACTCCGGGCCGCACTTGTTTCCCCCAATAATCCCAATTTTAATGAAAGATCCAAAAGGGAAGCTGAACAGAGAGTTGGAAGATATATTCTATTACTCTCAGGCACATTTGGGGCCTCATCCTCACTCGATGATGGCCCCTGTGACTGAGTACACCATCACACAGATGTGTAACATTGGTAAAAACGCATCTCCTGGCCCAGATGACATTCATAGAAGAAGCCTTAAAAATCTCCCAGAGAGTATAATCCCGTTGCTCACCAATATAATCAATGCATGTCTCACGCTGAGCTATGTTCCAATTCCATGGAAAGTGGCCAGCACAGTCATTATTCCCAAACAAGGTAAACCCCTAACCAACCCTGAATCGTATAGACCCATTTCTCTACTGAGCACCTAGGTAAAGTCTACGAGAGGCTCCTTATGGAAAGACTCAGATTTCCTAGACGCTCACCTCGCCATTCCAAGCTACCAATTCGAATTCAGGGCAGGACATTCTATGCAGAATGCATTGGTAGAAGCAACAACTTTCATTTCACAATCAATTAACTAAACGAAACACGTCATAGGCATATTCCTAGACGCCCAAAAGGCATTCGATCAAGTCTGACACAGACCTGATTGAAAAACTCCACCTTTCGTTAAGCTAATAAATTCCTATCTCTCCAATCGGACGATCAGGATCCAAGTTGACGGCATTTTATCCACACTCTTTACTCCACAAGCTGGAGTACACCAGGGCTCAATTCTTGCTCCAATATTATACACAGTCTACAATAGTGATATCCCCGTCCGAAGTGTAGATCGGAAACCCTTCTTCTGTATGCGGATGACACTGCACTCCTCACGTCAGGGCCACATAGAGAGTGTGGACAATTGTCTGTATTCGAATATGTAGATCAAGTTATTCTTCTTCTTCTTTTGGCATCATAACCCTGGATGGGTCTTTGCCTGTCTGGCTATGTCCTTCCATTCAGATCTCTCTTGTGCCCTTCTTCTCCATTGTCTTATGTTCATTGTTTTCAGGTCGTCTTCCACGTCATCCAACCATCTCGTTCTGGGCCTTCCTTTTTTTCGCCTTCCTCTGGGCTTCCATTGTAACATTTTCTTTGTTGTTTTTGCATCGTTTTGTCTCTACACATGTCCCAGCCATGACAGTCTTTGACTTTTCACAAATCTTACAATGTCATAACCTTCATTTAACTCATTAACCTCGTCGTTTCTCCTGATTCTCCATGTGCCATCTTCCTCTTGTACCGGGCCATATACTATCCTCAGTATTTTTCTCTCGAATGTCCTGAGTTGGTCGAGATCGAGTTATTAGGTGGTGCAATAAATGAAGAGTGACAATAAACGTCTCCACAACACAACTTATTTTATTCAAATCTTCCAATTGTCGCGATGTTCATAGCCTGATAAACTTGTTAGGAGACGGACTTATTCTCAGAAACTCAATTTCCTATTTGGGAGTTCATTTTAGCAGGACTCTCAACTCGGAAACCAACATTCAAGATACCCTAGACAGGGTGAGAAAGAGGTTTAAACTCCTGGCAGCGCTGTCCGGTAAAATGTGCAGGACGTCATCTAAAACATTATTGCACACCTACAAAACCTATATAACACCTCTAAATGAATACAAGGCATGCGTCTAAGCATCACTTAACAGCCGCCAAATTAACACCATTATGGCTACCGAAAGGAAAATCCTTAGATTCTGCATGAGGTAGTGCAGATACTATCCATCAGCACACATACATCAGGTAGCCAATCTAACACCGATTAAGGACAGAATCCTTCCCTCAGCAGGAGGTATATTCCTTTGAACCATTACAGGCTCGAACAACCGAGGCAAACAAATATTAAAGACGCAATGCAGTCGCCGACGGCACATACTCACCAGGGTTCCTAAAAGATAAGTTCCATTCCCTCTAGCTAAACTTCTACACAACACTGGACACGAACTTCCTGATGAATATTTTGATATTCCAGAATCATTCCCCATCAAATATCGTAGCTAATAACTGCACGCCAAAAAACTAATTAAGAGTCGTTCCTATGGCTGGTAACCCCTGAAGTACCTCATTCGATTTGTTTGGCCTTCTCCACCAACAATTCTTGTGCGCTTCACCATATCGTTTACATCACACACGCCACCTTCTGAACCCCAGTTTTTAGCAACCACTTACATCTCCACAAGCATTCGTAATCACGTTTACCACACCCCCTTACTCCGAAAAAAAAGGGAGTACCCCTTCCTTGATGAAGCACAGAGCCTAAACAAGGTAAAAACATTGGATCGATAGTATGTAAACTTTCTGTTAATGTTGTAAGTCTGCAAGTATATCTGTTGTTATTTTTTTTTCTATTTACAATCTAAATGAGGTGGCTTATAGATGAAAAATAAAAAAAAACGTAATAACAATAAATATATTTAAATAAATATAAATATGTAAGTCTAAATCAGTATAATATACATTATAAATGGCAAAACCAAGTTATCTACTTGGGTTGTTTTTGCTTCCACCACCGACGTGATTACTATCGCCACAAATAGTCTCAGTGCATCTGTGGATGAGATGATTTGTATAAAACCTACAAAAAATAACAATATACAGACATCGGTTATCACAAGTATTAACAAATTTCTATTTACTAATTAAATTGTATTGTATCATTATCTTCGAGGTAACCGTAATGACGAATCTGACATCAGATGGATATCCTCTTTACCAAACCTTGTTTAACCAAAATAGCAAATCAAGCAATTTTTATTTGAGTTCTCGTTCTGTGTACTCAAGTCTTGATACTTATAGTAATCTTGGAAGAATTATATTAATAAACAAAATATACCTCATGGGTTGTTGGGCTGTAAAGTTTAATGAGGGTGACAACGGCTTAAAAAACGCCAGCGCATAACTACACATGCGGTCAATCGCCAGTGGCGCTAGTAATCTCTGACCATCCCAGTCTTTCGTACGTAATGTATGACAAATATTTAAACTGAAAGACATATGCGACCTCAAAGCACAGCATAACACTATATATGTGGTGGAATGGAAAAAATGGACAGCCGGAGTGTGACGTCACGGCGGACGTATTGCCATTATTACTTTCCGAACAAAAGTTAAAATGCTCAAACTCAAGACTTTTTAATTTCTATAAAGTTAACATTTTGCTTCCTCCGCTGCTTTTTCTTTTAAGTATAGTGTTTTTACGGTAATACCATCATAATTCAGTGTTCTATTTCTATGAAATACAGTTTAAAAGTTTAAATTAAAGAAATTCTAACCTTACTTTACTGATACATGCATTTTATTGCTATTTTTATAAAACAACTGCTTTATTATCTACACAACCTTGTAAAATTGTTGTAGTAACTATTAGAATACTTAGATATTGCAAAAAGCGGAAAGAATCTGTATAAAAAATGAAAACATAACGAAAAATACAAATAATCCACAGTAAACAGGGTTTGTTTGGAAAGTGGAACTGACAGATGTCAATAAAATCTACGTCATCACTCCGGCGGTCCATTTACGATTAGAAATTAAAAAAAATGTGCTCCATACGATTCCTACGTTACAAGCAGTCAAGTTACACAAAAAATGAAACGGATACCTTTTGTGAATTGATTAGTTGTTAACTAGATAAATTATAAATGTTACACCAGAAACTATTTAAAAAGATACTGCAAATTGGAAGGAAAGGAGTTAAACGAAGGGTCGTTACAACTTTATTCTACCAGGACCATAACAGAAGATATGTTTTACATCCTTACACTGTTTATTATGATATTAATAATAAATGTAGTGTAATAATGTTAAGAAAAATAAATATAGTCATAAAATAATAAAAGCGGAATATTTTAATAAATGTAATATGTTACGGTACAAGAAAGTTTTTTTTCTTATTATACGACGATATTGATTTTCTGTTGCATTCTCATGAGTATTCCTCATTACAAATTCATCAGACGTCCAATTGACATTTATTTTTTCTCCGCTACGTCTAAATTCGAATTTTCGTCCGTTACGTCTCAAATTTTGGACACATTCTATTGGATATTATGTAGATGTGATTTACTTATGTCCACTGGAGGTCCCCCGAGTGAGAATGACGTCTTTTGGACGAATAACAAGACGCCATTGGACGTTTCATGATACCTGGAGCTACATTAAGTGTCTTCATTATACAAAACTTTTTTCTGCGATAAACAGTAAAATAGATCATTTAAAACACTTACCAAAATAAAGAAGCATGTACAATATTCCAATTTGCGATAAAATACACGCAACAGTCCCTTCGATGGTCTTTTTAGAACCTAAAATTAAATTTTAGAATAAACATATCGTTGCTTGGCATGAATAACGGCATAACTAAAAAATTACTAAAATCGAGTTATATAGGTAAAATGTTCCAAAATCCAATATATTTTATCGTGAATAAAGCAGCAAGGCGTAGTTCTACTTTTAGCCACGTAGCGCGCATATGTCGTTATACCATCACTTGAATTTGCCTCGAAGTTTATCACGTAGAGCGACGCACATTTAGTTGAGCCAGGGCAGTTGAACAAGTTAGAATTTTTCGTGAATACTGCAGTATCGCAAAATATTTTGTGCTAAATGGAGAATATATAGGTGATTGTTATCCTCAATAGTGGTGTATTTGGAAGTGTCACAGTATTAAAGGTAAAATAACTTAATTTCTAGTATTGCCTTAACTAAAATAGTGGATCACTTTGTTTTATGTCTGTATTCATGATAAAATTCTTAAATACATTTTAAGTTTTTGTGTAAAATAATGAGATATTTTGTAAATTACTGCCAGATATTTTATTATTGTTGTAAATATTAGATTAAAATCAGAAACTTTTTGATTTGCAAATTAGTGATCAGCTATATTTTATTTTTATCTCATGATTGATATTTTATCATTTATGTTCCTTTTATTTTACTTTTCAGACTTAAATATGGCATATAGAGGTAAACTGATGGTAAAAATGTTATAAGAACTAAGTCAGTTAGAAGATAGTAGGGAAAATGATGATACTAATACTATACATACTCCAGTCACGAGTCCAAGTAGGTCAAGGCCTAAAAGAACTGTCTTGCAATCACCCAATACCATTGAGAACAATAATAATGAAGACATTCTTTTAGATAATGAGGTGTCGCAGTGCTCCGACGATAGTATCAAAGATCCAAATTATGTGGTTTCTAGTGATCAAGAAAAAAATAAACCCAAATTCGTGAACTTACTACACAATATCCCGCAACAAATCAGATCTCGAAGTTCTTCATCTTCTTCATCGGGTTCATCTTCTTCATCGGGGTCATCTTCTTCATCGCGTTCATCAACTTCATCTAATAGTTCTAGTTCAAAAATACCTATTACGAAAGGTCGCAAAAGAAAATCAAATCCAATTAAGTGGAAACGTGCAGAAGCAAAACGATTAAGAAATTTAGGAAAATCGTATAAGCCTAACTCCAAGACTAAACAGGAAATGCCAGACAGAAAGTTATAGAAACCGTGCAAAGAAACTTGCAAATTTAACTGGATAAAAAATGTTTCGGAGAAAGACCGTCAATTAATTTTTAATAATTACTGGGATATGGGGAACCTTCACAGGCAGCGTGAATTTATAATGAGGCACATAACAAAGATTTTACCCCGATATTCTTACAAAATCCACAAGAGTAATCGCGGTAATAATTTTGCATTTTTGTTGACTGTTGGCCACACCAAAATCAGGGTTTGCAAATTGTTCTTCCGGTCAACGTTGGATATATCTGATAGAGCCATCCGTACTGTCATTGATAAATGCTCACAAAATAAACCCAAAATGAAACCGGTGTATTATCTACTGACAAACGAGGCAAACACGGCAAACTAAATGTGTAGATGCATCCATAAAAGAAAGTATACGCAAACATATACAATCGATACCAAAACTTGAGAGCCATTATTGCAGGGCCAGTACGAGTAGAGAATATATTGACGGAAGCAAATCTATTACAAGTTTACACCAAGACTATGTCGCTGATTGTAAAGCGCAGGGGCAACCGTTTGGAAATTATATTATGTACAATCGTATCTTTAACCACGAATTTAATGTAGCTTTCCATAATCCAAAGAAAGACCAGTGTGAAGACTGCGAAGCATTTAAAAATTCGACGGGGGACGTGAGAGAACAACTAAAACAGAGTTTTGAATTACATTTAAAAGAAAAGGATCTATCCAGAGCCGAAAAAGAAAACGATAAATATTTAGAAAATCTAAAATCGAAAGCTAATGATATAGGGCGAAAGTTAGATATAATCTTCTACTCGGACAATTGCTGTGGTCAAAATAAAAATCATCATTGCTTTATATATATACGCTGTTCAGTATTTCGATCACATCAATTCTATTCAACATAAATTTCTGATTAAAGGACACACCCAAAATGAAGGGGACAGTACTCATTCGGTTATCGAAAAATGTGTCCAAAAATCTCTTAAATCCGGACCAATTTATACTCCGGATCACTATGTCAATATAATTCGAAACGCTAAAAAAACTGGAAAACCGTATCAAGTTCATGAATTGACCCACGACGATTTTTTAGACATAAAGACTTTAGCCGATACAATGGGAAAGAACTACACAAAAAATACTGAAGCAGAGCAAGTAAAGCTGACAGAAATAAGAGTAATTAAGTGTGCTGCCGATGAAGAATTCAGTATAAAACTTCATTTGAAGCGCAATCTTTCAAACAAGTTAAAATAGATATTACAAGAACAAGGCAAGTAAGAAATAATGCGGCCAAACCGTCATTACAGAAAGTTTACAAACAAAAATTTACAATATGCGAAAAGAAAAAGAAGGGATTATTGGAATTAGTTAGAAAAAATACCATTTCTAGATTCTACAGTTCATTTTATACAAATTTATAAGACTCATTTTTAAAAAGCTATTTCTTTAGAGTTAAATGAAATTGGATAAGTTTTGATTTTAGTTACATACCTATCTTGTAATTTTTTAAATCATATTCTTGTTTTTTATTTGAATTATTTTCTTGAATGTACTGTTACGTTTTGTTATTTCATAAATTAAAACTACATGACACTTTGTTATGTATTTATTTCTGAAAAATTTGGGTATGCAATTTAGTGAACAATTTTTGGTGAACATTGGCGTAAGTCAAAATTTTTGAAACATACCTGCTTAAAGCCACCCATTTTAACATGTCAAATTAAAGTTCATAATATAAGCTATCAAGTATTTTAGCCATACCACCATATCAATGTTTTAGTAATATACTAATAATCATTACAGTTTGAGTAACTTCCCTGTTGCAATTATTCAAAACGATGTTTTTTTAGTTATGTCACTATTCTTGCCAAGCGACGATATAATCTATATGACGATTGTAACAATAACACAATCAGCTAGATCATTAGGTAACAAGTAAAAACAAATCATCACCCGCTATAGATAGTAGTAGTTGTTGTTGATAGATGGCGTTGGGGAAAGACACAGAATAAGCAAATTATAATATTGATACTTACCAGGCCAAAAAAATTTGCCATAAGTGGATCCAACGACACTAGCGGCAGTATCTCCTACTCCAATGCTTAATATTCCGCTTAACAGTGGAATCAGATTAAAAGAGGCTGAGTCGGTAACATCACAAGGTGAAGGATGAATCCAAATCGGTAGCGAACTACCGACTAGCAGATAAATCGGCGTCAATGATAAATATCCATCTTTCTCGTCGCTAAAAACCACAAAGCCGTCTTGAAGGTAGATGCCTAGTGGGGGCAAGTGAAGAAGACGCAAAATCTGAAAATTAAAAAATGTTAACAGTGGTAATTAATATAGTTTTAATAAGGTTTATTAGAATTTTAAGTTCGTAAAAGCTCGTACTTCTAGTTTAAGATCATTTGAATAAGCAAAATGAAGTCATATAAATGTGCCTCACATGGCATTCACAGCTAAACAGACTGCTGTTGGAGCTCCACGAGAATAGTTGCGAAGTCTACTGCGAAAACCAGGCAACCCCTACTTTCGTATTAGGCCTCAAATCTACAAAATGTGGTGTCTACATATTGTGCGTGCGCAAGAAGACTGTTACAACTCAAAATTTGTCATTTTTGAGATTTATATAGCAAACGACTTAAAAAGGTATTATCTTTAATCTAGAAGAGTGTTATAAGTTTGGTCAAACTATTTCTCAGATGTCGAGATGTTACACACTTTTTAAAAATAGCATTCGCTTCTCGAGAACATCGCGGCAATTCAGTTTACTACGAGCTCTGAAATGAAAAACAACGTCTGTGCTGATCAAGACTGTTACATTTTGTAATAGTGCTAATTATTAAGTGTTTTTTTCAGGAAAACTGTTACAATTGTATTTATAGCCCAGATTTTTTTCCGGTAAGTAGAATTTAGTTTATTATTTATCTACAAGAGTGTTACATTTCAAAATATAACTTACTTGCATAAAGAAAACCATGAAATAATTTTGTTAGATTATGAAAAAATTTCGATTTGCAACGCTTTTGAATAGAAATGTCGATTAAATTATATTTTATTTCAAAATGTAATGTTTTTTTGTCGGTCAGATAGCCAAGCGGGCTGGGCGGCCGGTTTCTCATTCGCTTCACTGCGAGTGGTTCAGAGGAAGTGAGTTCGATCCCCAGCTCGGTGTACAGAAAACAAAAAGGCTAACGCAGCAGTTTAAAATTCTAAATGAATCTGTGGCTTAGACTAGAATATGCTGGTGTCTGATCGGCCTATGGTGGAGTAGTACGGCAAGAGATAAGGACTTGCGGCTCGGTGATACTCCTCCATAGATACCTACCGGAAGGGCGTGTGCCGCCTAAATACCGAGTATATATATAATGTTTTCCTTAATATACTTTGCCTTAAAATTGCATTATTTTCGCTGAGGAATAAAAGTACTTACTATATTATGTATCTACCTCCTTCTATTATGTACGATCTTTCTAACTAGCTCTATAAATATTTTGTTTCTAACTACCTCTGTATACAAATTAATGAGATAGGTTAGATAGCCTAACTGACTCAACAAATCTAAATATAGTCTTCCCCATCGAAAGCAAATATTTAATTTTTTATCAATTACTGGGTTCAGGTCTTAAATGTATTGTTTTAGTTTATTTATATTTTAGTTTTAGTTTATTAGTATATTTATTGTTCTGCTGAGGTTTTGATTATGTAAGTCGTTTGTTTGTGCAGTAAGTGGGTTAATAAATAATTTACACAAACAATTGTTTCTAATAAGAGATGTGTAAGATTTGTAGTACCCAATAAGGGAGAGGCGCATGCATACTTCACGTTATGACTGAGCTGCCTCCATTGCATCTTACTGGAGGAAGCAACTCTTCCTGGAACTCTTTGCAAACTGTATTTCCGACACAACCATTAATGACTTGTAAAATAAGAATAAGTAAAATAGAATAAATAAAAATAAGTCAACTAAACACATCAGTAAAGAAGAACAGGTTATAAATGTAACATATTTCTTAGTTTATTACTTTATAGACTACATCTACATAGCTTATGTTATGTATGCTCCACTCTACAATTAAAGTTTTGAATGTTAAAAAGTCAAATTATTTGTTTGTGTGTAATTTTTTTCAATTTGGAGGCACATAATCTGTTGTTATGAAGTATTAACCTGTATATAATTAATTAGTTAATTTGTTCGGGTTTTTTTAGAACCGGTTTTCTTTAGATTTGTTTTAGTCAGTTGTCCACATTACAAAAAGCAACTAATAAGGATTGACTTAATACCGACTGATATTACATGGTCGAACTTACAGTGAAAATAACAATATAAATTACCTCTAAAGCTAAAAAGATTCCTAAAACCACTCCACTTGCCAAATACAAGAATGAACACCTGTACAATAGGCCCGGAATGTAAACTACCACAGCCAATAAATGAAATACTTTTCTGGTACTGGTTGAAGCTTTTTGGGCATAAAATATCTGATTGCTAATTGCAAGTATAGCAATTCCGGTACAAAATAACCAATACAGCATGAGTTTAACCTAAAAATAAAATATAGTTAACAAGTACTCAATCATCAGTTAAAAATGTTTCTTTAATCATTAATAGTAGAAGAGATAAAAAATTATAGGCCTAAATAAAACAGAGACTGTCATGTACGGCTTATCTAAAAACAATTCCAGTTTTATTCACTTATTGGCAAATTTAATTGTTATAGACAAGACAATATTATGTAATCATTTAAGTATTTCCGTAGGTGAAAAAAATTATTGAAATTTACTTAAGTAATAAATAGAAATGGATGAAAATGTGAAATTTTCTGAGGAAAAAACTTAGCCTGTTGACATTCGATATGAAAAAAAAACAATTATTGTAGTGACACTGTTTTTCAACTGACTTACATATTTTAGATTTCTTAGAAATACTGTTCTTATAAATAAATAGTAACTCAATCTTCATTCACTTGAGAATTAGCATAATTTCTTTTTTGATCATTATTTACTTGTATTTCAAACAATTTCAAATTTCTTTATTAATTTGAAATAAATATTTTTGAGCAGGTAAAGAATTGAGAATTGTTGTCTGAATGCTGTCTAAACACAATTAGTAATAAAATATTTCCAAATGAATGAACGTTTTGTATCTATTAGTGAGAATTTACTCTTAGGTACATTATCAAAAAGCCTCTTTTGTTGAGGTACCATGGTCATCAAATTATTATAAAAATATATTTGTTATTCATTAGAGAGATTATTGAAATTTTGTTTATATTACATTGGCTTTTCCTATTCTTTTAATTTTCTACACAAAAAATAATGAAGAAAAATATGATTGTGTATTAAATTTTAATTTGAAAAATCAGTAAAGGTTTGAAATGAATTAAAAATATGTATAGTAGGATAAATACACTTTTTAGTGTTTACATTATATTTTCAATACTTAGAATTGTTCAAAAATATTCAGTCAATCGACATTAGGAAACAAGACATATACACTATTTAAAATGTTTATAAAACTAAAAACACTCAAAATCAAAACAGCAACCTTAAAGGTAAATATATAAAAATTATATCGAATTCCACAGTACTTCACATAGCTGGCAACAATATCGCTGTTCAGAAAATTAAATTGCAGGAAAATTAAAATATTAGAATATTATGTATGTGCTGCCATCTTCTCAAAGAATTGAAGGGGTGAGTGGATGAAGGGAGTAAGTGACATTTTTTAAGAAAATGAGTTATTCGCATGGATGAAGGTGGTAAGTGCTAACTTAAATTTTCCACTTATCCCCAGCCTTCTATGATTTAAAATAATTGAGATAGCCAGCGTATGAAGGAGGTAATTGACCATACTACTTTAAATATCTAGTGAATGAAGGAGGTAAGTAACAAGATAAAGTACTTACCTCCTTCATCCATACCACAGAGAATAAAAATTGTGACATACCTCCTTCATGTATTCGTCAGCTGACATCGGATGACAACAAATTAAAGTTTTTAGGTTATGTGCAAGTGCAACACCCGCTACTGCTTGTGTTAGTGTTCTTAGCTGTTTTAGTTTATTTAATTAGTTATAAAGTGATTTATTATGACTAGTACTAGGGGAAAATTTTTGACAGACTTGGCTTTACAACAATTACAACAAGAATCCACTATTACAGAAGAAGTTGGTGATAATGAAACCAAGATATCAGGTAAATATTATTCTTTAGTAGTTTCAAGTATTTTGCAAAATATTAATTTTAATTGATTGATTTTCATTTATTTAAAGATAAGCCAAGTTTTTACATTACGTCTAGCCTACAATCTAAGTCTAGGCCTATGTAACTTGCAAAGCATCGGCACGTCTTATGCTGTTGTTTACAAAAAGTTTATTTGGGCTGTAAGCCTACTAGAATGCTTTTAATGACACCGAATTTTGTAAATCAATAAAAATCCATTAGTATTGATAAAAATCATATTTTCATTAAGCGCTAAATTAAATATCAACATCATAATAAAACGGCAACATTAGTGATATCATTTTTTTCAGATTCAAATATAGCCAAAGAACATAAAAACCTACTGGATGGCTCTAGTATCTACATTCAACCTTGTAGCTCAAATTATCAGAATCATTCTGATGAACTAGAACTGAAAATCCAAGGTACAGAACGTACACGACCATCCAACAAAAACAAACATGGAGTTTACAAAAAACTACGTAAGTACATTAGAAATACATATTATTTGAACAATGGGCTAGTTAAAAAAATCTAATGAAATGGTAAGGTGGTATTAGAACTCTGATGTCTCACTCTGGGTGAGTGTCTTAACCAATTACACTATCCGACCCACGTGATTGTTGCCTTCAAATGTGGTACTTAGCTTATTTAACAGTAATTATTTTCTGTTAATCATTGACTGTCAATAGGGACTTAAATCAGCAGACCAGATTAATAACTAATGTTTTGTTTTTCTTAACAGCTGAAATTAAACCAGGCAAATTTAGGCTTATGCTAATGTTCTGTTTTAGATTACGGAGAAAAACTTGATTCAGATGATGAAAGCCTTTCATCATTATTTAGTGATGACTCAAGAGATGAATACGTTCCTAATGAAAATGAGAAAGATGATATCGAATCAGATGAGGATGGAAATGAGGAAGGCAATAAGGAAGTGGTGAGTGAAGAAACTGAAAATGAGATTATGAATGATGGCAATATACATTTTGAACTACAAGTAAACGGAAATATTCCATATGATGAGATCGTTGCCCTTCCTGAAAATGGAAATGAAGAGGCTCTTAACTTGCCCACTAAAAGCAAGAAGAAAATATTTCCACTAAAAGTAAAAGTAACTAGAAAAAGACAGAAAAATATTGAACAATGGAAAGCACGAAAACGTGCCAAGTGCAGAGAAAGTGGTCTGGCCTACATTTCTAAAATAGGCCAAGTAAAACCCGCTAAAACCGTTAACTCTGGGATTTTGTGCAATGAAAATTGCCGCTACAAGTGTTCTCAGTCAATAACTGTAGAAGAAAGGGAATCTATATTTTCTTCCTACTACAAACTAGATGTAAATGCAAAAAACTGCCTTCTTTTTAAGAGCATTAAAAAAAAGGAACCAATGAGAAAGAAAACTGGAGCATTAAAGCATAAAACTGCCACCTACCAATACAATGTAACTTGTAGTGGCCGGCAAACTACCGTATGCAAACGGGCTTTCATTTCCTTGTTTGCAATCAGCTTGAAAAAGGTTGACCTGATCCAAACTTCAATAAAATCAGGGAAAAATGCTCCTGAACCGGACAGAAGGGGAAAACACGCAGTTAGACCTAACAAGACCCCTGCTGAAGTTGCTTCTTACGTCATTGAGCATATTTCCAGTTTCCCAGCAGAAGAGTCGCACTACTCCAGGCATTGTAATATTCACAAAAAATATCTTTCACCGCAACTTTCGATCCCTAGAATGCATAAACTTTACCTAGACAAATGCCGAACTGACGGAAGAAATGAAAAATTTCAAATAAAAGAGGCTACATACCGATTCATTTTTAATAATGAATTTAATCTGTCTTTTGGTTATCCCAAAAGCGATACATGTAGCACATGCGATTCTGGCAAAAGTAATGAAGAGCACGCTGAAAATTACAAATCAGCGTTTGAATCTCAAAAAACAGATAGAGAATTTGCTAGCAAATCAGATAACACTGTGTATGTAACATTGGATCTACAGCAAACTATGCCCCTACCTAGGCTTAGTACCTCTAAAGCCTTTTATCTTAGACAAATGTGGTTTTATAACTTGGGAATCCACATAATAACCAAAAATGTGGAAAAAACTGTTTTCTGCACATGGACGGAAAATCAAGCTTCCAGAGGTAGCTCGGAAATTTTTAGTTGTTTTCTACGAACAATCGAAGTGGATCCAGCCTTCAAAGGAAAAGATCATCTTATTTTGTGGACGGACTCGTGTGCTGGGCAAAATAAAAATTTTTTGATGGTATGTTTGTTTCAGTATCTTGTGGGCAAAGGCATTTTTAAAACGATTGAGCACAAGTTTCCAGAGGTAGGACACTCATACTTAGACTCGGATAGAGCATTTGGACGTATTGAGAAACAGCTAAAGAAACATCAAAACATTTATATTCCTGATGAATATCGTGATGTGATTATTTTTTCAACCAAGAAAAATATGGTGATAGACATGCAACATCACTTTAGACACACCGAAAATATTATGAAAAATATGAAACTAATGAATAGAAAAAAAGATCTTCTTAATGAAAAGGTTAATTTCAAAACTGGAATCAAGTGGATTCGCGTAGATGTCTTTGGATCATACCTTTTCAAGGAGTCCTACGATTATTACACACCTTTCAAAATGGTATGTATCCTCAAGCAGAAAAATTTCCCATCCCTTCTACCTGAAGAATTCAACATTCCAAGACATATCCAATATACTGGATCCTTAAGCAACGAAAAGTTAGACAATCTAAAAGAACAGCTTTGCTTCATTCCAGAAAAAGATAAGTGGTATTATGAAGCCATCATAGAGCAACGACAATTTTAAGAAGGTGATACAATATCCTTAGACTGATTCAAAAGATGCTTAGAAATTCAGTGTTTGTCACCCCTTTGTAAAATCAAAAATATAAGTGTTTACTTGACATCCATGTTATTTTTTTTCTGATTATAGCGCTTATTCAAAAGAAAAAGCAAATATTTATCCTAGATGAAGGAGGTAAGTCCACATACCCCCTTCATTTTGGCATAGACATAATTTCTAACACAAAAAAGTTTTTGGATAAAAGAGGTAAGTACAAATATATATTTTTCAAATAAGTTTTTAAAAATCGGGGAGATTTTTGTTTTCACAATAAAATTTATACATATCCTACCTGTGAGAATAAAAAAAAAACGGTTTAAAAAATCTATTAATAAAAAAGTTCCAGCAATAAAACTTTGGAGTTAAATTTCTCAAAAACTTACTTTTGTTACTTACTCCCTTCATCCACTCACCCCTTCAATTGTTAAACGTTAGTTTATTTGAACCCCACTCATTTTAACTGCAGCGTGAACATACCACCTTAAAAAATTATAAGTTTGACATAATACAAATAAATATCTTCCAGACACTTGTTATTTTTTCCCCTATTATCCACCACTATTAGAGAGAAAAATTAATGTATTTATCTGTCAATAAACCTAGTAGACAACTGAATTATTTCTAAAACATAATTGCACTTACCATAGACAAGTCTTCTACCATTTGATTCAAAATCCATAATATAGGACTTCTTTGCAGTAGAATATGCAGTGGGATTATAATAACACCGACAATTATAACACTTGAAATAGTATAAAATGGAACAGTATTTTTAATCTTGAAATAATAGGAACAAACAGCAATGGCCAGAATTCCTAGAAGACCTAGCTAAAATAAAAGCAAATAAGAATAAAAATATTTATTACAATTTTTACAAATTACACTTTTTTATAAATATTGTTACTATTGTTCCACATCTGGTATATTCCCTCACCTATTACAATTTAATATTTTATTTGTGTGCTTCGCTTGCTAGTTTACTTACATTCCATTTCTTAGGTTTATATACCACAACTTTATTGCATATTGCTTAATTTTTTACAAAAACAACAAAAAACTTCTTCAGTGGGGGCAAATAAATTTATAATTGATATGTTCATGAATTTGTCTTTTAAACCTGCCCTTCATAGACTATCAGTGACTCTGATTAGTATAAAAGAATACCATACATTCCCTCGCATGAGCTGTCAGCAATATAAACATTGTGCATTCATACTTGGTCTTTTCCAATAACTCATTAACGTCCATATTGTAATCTTTATCCACAAATTTCGTGTATTTGACAAATGCATAATAAAAATTTCATTAAAACTACTCACCTGAATGATTAAAGTTGCTACTTGAATATTACTTTTAAATGGAAGGGGTCTTGTGGTATGATTGACAAAATTTAATATTGTAAAATATAACATTAGAGTAAGGCCCTGGCATATAATTGCAGCTTCTCCAAGCGTAAAGCTTTCTTTAAAATGTTTCAAGAGAAATTTGTATATTTGGAAATATAGCACAGTTGAGAAAAATCCTCCAAATACTGAAAATGGCACATCTGCAAAAGTTAACTCTTTTAGACTATAGTTCCAAACATATACACATGGAATACAAATAAATTACTATATAAAGTGTGTGTGCTTGTACTTTCAACCAAAGGAAATACTGCATTATTTCATCACCTAGATCTTGGTCCCTCTCTACACTTAAAAACTTAATAATAAGTTAATTTTATTCACATACTAACTAATTTTCTGTGGTTTAAATACCATAGGCTATAACTATAAATGCAAAAATAGAAAATTTAATAAGGGAAGAAGGGTTTTGAAGGGAAGAAAATACAGTGACTTTATTTTGTTTTAAAAACTGTTCCACTGCACACAAGCAATGTGAATTTACTTATATTTATAAATTGTATTAAAATCTCAATGCATAGATGGCTACTGAAGTAAGTAAAAAGAAAATGTTGTCTGAACTAACATGTTTAATTCTAATTTCACTCTTGAATGAACATTATATGAAAAATTACTGGGTTAATGATTGCATGTCTTGAAAACAATTTTATGTAATAAATAATGAGAGTTATTTACTTCAAAAATATAACAGTAGTAGTAAGAACAATATATAAGAGAAAGTAAACAGGAAAGTAAATATTACTTATAATTATAAAATAGTAAAAATTGGATACCTTTATGTAAACATATATGAAATAGTGCAGAAGTGGCTGCTAAAGCTAATATGGTCCATAAACTAAATACTTTCAGTCTTTGCTTTCTATATTTCTGCATCGATATTATTAAAGAGACAAATATCATGCCTGTACATATTAATGAAGCTAATTTGTAAGTAGGTGTAGTAGTAATTGAGTGCTTGAAGACAGAAATAATTACAGAAAGTGGAAGTAAAAATTGTATCCAAAGACCATTACTGCTGCTAGTTGGTCTAAAAACATAAAACAGGTAAGATATATAGAAATATATAATTATTAACAATTTATTTTTACCTTGGTTTTAAGTTATTTATTCTAAAAAAATCTCCTTCCATTGAATTACAGTTTAAAGCCACGAGGAAATATGAATATTATATTTTAATTATCTCTAATTTTCGAAATTATCACATTTTATCTTAATCAATGTAAAAACTTTGTATTTTTGATGTTTCATTTTGACTTTTTAACCCTTAATTACAACCTATCAAACAAATTACAATTTATTCTAAACGTAAATATTGTTCATCTCTTTTTCGTTGCATTTATTACTAGAGATAGAAGATAGATTTTTTAGCTAAAACAAAAGGGTTACAATGGTTTGTTCTTCTTTGACACATTAAAAATATAACATTACCTCTTTTTCTAATTGGAATCTGTACTAAAATCATACTAAAACTACGCACAGGAACGGATTAGCACACTATTAAAAAATAAATTGAAATTCTTTTCGTAACAATACATTAATTTTCACAAAAAGAATTTAATGTTTAAAGTAAATAATATTCACCTCGAAAAATAAAGAATAGTCGTTATTCAAGTATTTAAATAAAATTAAGAAATTAGCTTTCCCCAATTTTTACAATTTTGCAAGGCCGAGCATGTAGTTTGTTTGTAAGTAGAGTGATGGCGGCTAATCTACACCGCTCTGCTCTATTCGAGTGTCATTCGATTACACTTTTTTTCCGCAGGGTGAGACAATCTCTAACCTAAAAACAAATTTTTGAGAAATTATCAGTTTGTTATTTTAGGTAATGAATAATAAACTCCCATCATAAGTAACATTCACAATATGACCTAAAGAAATAGTACAATTTAATATCAGTAATTGTACAGTAAATGATTAAAATGAATGATGCTAAAGAAAACTCTGGTTTTAAAAGTTATATAGGAGAATCGGAACTAGAAGTAAGTTTATATCATAGATGCTATGTATCCAGTTTGAAATTTATTTTGTTTTGTTTTTAGTCAATTAGTTTGGATGATATACAACGAACAAAAATTTTAGAAGGTAAATATTTGTTACACAACCTACTGCAAAAAATATTAATTGTTTAAACATGTTTTAGGGGAAACTATTGTCCATGAGGAACCCAAAGTACTTCTTTATGTACCTCTTAGTGATAGAAAGACATGTATTAATGGTATCTTAGCAGTGACCACTTTTAAGCTCTCATTTATGAGTGCAGAGGAGCAAGAGTCTAATTGCTACCAGCAGAATCTTTTATTAGGTGTAAATGATATATGTCTGTCTTCCATTGATGTTATTTATCAACTAGGGGATAGAACCAAGAAGAAACTTTTACCGGGACAAAATGTTACAGGGAAGGTCAAAGAAATACTTATAATTTGTAAAAATATGAGGAGTTTTGAGTTTAGTTTTAAACATAGTTCAAAAGAAAGTGGGAAGAAAATAGTCAATGCTTTGCTACACCATGCATACCCAAAAAGGCATTCATTATTATTTGCTTATGATTATAAGTAAGTAGATATAATTTATGTATTAAATTCCATACAATGTAGATGTCTTAATTAGCTGGGAACAAGGACAGCTACTTTCTATATATTTCTATACAGATGGGAAAACTAACATACATATTGCTCATTTGTGACTATAATGTGGTATCTTGTGAAATTGTTTCTTATTTTCTATTTTTAAAAAATATCAACCTAAATATTTATTTTAAATTTAAGTAAAGAAGTCATAAAATAACTGATAATGCTGTTGAAAATTCAATGAAAAACATTTTAAGTCAAATTCTTTATCTTATAGCCTTTTTATCTTAAAAAATGTTTATCTTTAAAATTTGTTAACATATTTTTCATCTTCATTTGTTTATCTTATATTTATTCAATCCAGGTTTTGTTCCTTGTAACTTTTCTATTCTACTCCTTTTTTTTGTTTCTTACTGCTTTAGCTTCTTTATTTTTGTAACATTGTTATTGAGTGTCAAACCATCATTGATCTGACTTCATTCATTATTAATATTATATTCTATATTGTGTAGATATTTTCATTTTTAATTACACTAGTGATTTTTCCTTATGTCTATCTTTAAACACTACATTTTCATGTCATTAATGTTTGACCAATTTTTTTTTTGATAATGTTCATAATAATTGACTATTTGAAAGTCATTCTCTACACTACCAGATATAACCAGCTCCAGCTCATATGTGATGGATGGCTTGAGCACATGATTCAGAAGTTATAAAATAATTTGTACCACATCTTAAAATAATTTATTTGTTTACAAAGTGGCATAAAAAGCTTCTTATTGGATTTACCATTATTATTCAAGACTAAGACAACAGGATTTCCCATTAATTATTAATTTATATTATGACTAATGAAATGCATTGTATTATATCATGACTTATCAGAAACACCTGCATAAATGTGAATTTGGGGTTTTTAAAAACCCCAAATTCACATTTGGTTTTTTTATTTATAAACATAATACTTTTAGAAATTTTTTATGGAATGTACTTTCTTATTATTTTAATTTTATTTTATGTAATGTTTTAACTTCTTTTAACCTCAATTGATGTTGTTCTTTGATTTATCAATTGGTGTTTTGCCATTTCCACTGTCATCTCATCCTTTTTGTATGTTAATTCCATTCCATTTTCCTGTTTGACTTACTGGTTTATCTATTTCTCCCAGACCCGCTTCTAATGTTTTCCTTATTTATTTTGTCTCTGTGTTTCTTAGGATTTTTGAGTTTGAAAGATTGTGACCTCTTGACAGTATTAAACCACTATTAACTTTAGGTATGAATCCTAATATTATTTGAAAGGCAGTTTTTAATCCAGTCAATTTAGACATAAAAATAATGGTCAAATAACAAAAATTCCCAGAAAGCCAAATATTGGTGGAGAGCTGAGGTTTACCATTACCATTAGAAATAAAGTTTTAAAAATGCCCATCCATCATATGTGTGATACAAAAGTTATTTGGGGTCAACAGTGAAAATTTGAGGTTTTTTGGATATCTCTCAAAAACAGTAAGTTTTATCAAAAAAACTTTAAACCAAAGTTGTAGATCTTAACCAACAAAAGGAAGAAGAAGAAATCACAGAAGACTATGATTCTGACTGTTGAAGTAGACTTTCAAGAGTATGAATCTGATTAAAATATCTAAAAAAAAATCAAAACAATAGTTAACACGCAGTAGAGGATATTGTAATACTTTCCGTTCACGCCATAGTGACAGAGCCGGCACCACAGTTACATTAAAATTCTCGGTCAATAGACCTCGCTGCCATGCAGGGCAATTTTTTTCTCTGTCAAATAGACTGAGACGGCAGGCAATGTGTTAACCCAATAATCAATAGCAATATCAATAATCAATATCAGTATTAAGGTAATATCTACAACTTAAATTATTTCAAAATTGTCATGACAGTGGCGTAGGCCTACATTGGAAGCCACAGTAAAAAATACATGCTGAGTACACTACCTCACAGATGAAATAATTACTATTTAACTGGGATTAAGCCACAATTAAAAAGGTAAAAATATGTTTATTGATGTTTCAATTTCCACTTCGGAAATCATTCTCAAAATACAAATGATTTCCGAAGTATAAATTGAAACGTCAATAAACGTATTTTTACCTTTAATTGTGGCTTATTCCCAGTTAAATAGTAATTAATTTAAAATGCCACATTTTTGTAGAGAATTTTAAAGTCTACAACTTTGGTTTATTTTTTTTTTTTGATACAACTTACTGTTTTTGAGAGAAATTCAAAAAACCTCAAATAACTTTTGTAGCACACAATATACGATCGATGGGATTTTTAAAACTTTATTTGTAATGATAAACCACTGTTGTCCACCAATATTTGGCTTTATGGGATTTTTTGTTATTTTAAATGTCTATATTGACCAGAGTATAGTGCATATTTTACTTTCTCCTAAATCATAAATATACTGTTTCTTTTACAATGATTGATTTATTGCGGTTTCTTCTGCTTCTTCTATTGTCCTATCCATTGTGGACATTGGCTACTAACATAACGGTTCATATTTTATTACGGACTCATCTAAAAAGCTTTACATATGTTAGTCCAAACCACTTTGATTGGTTTCCCCACCGGTGGTTTCCCATCCATATTAATTATGACTCATCAGATGACCAAGGTATTCCAACTTTCTCTTCTTTATTGGAAATATAATTTCTTGTTGCCAATAATTGGAAAATTCATTGATATATGCACATTTTAAAGGCAGATAGCTTTTTAATTAGTTATTCTGTTGTAGTCCATAATTCTAGCACATACAGTAAAATTTTTAGCTTTAGTGAAAAGTCCCTGTTAGTAAATATGTGCATTCTTCTTCTTCTTTCAGTGCCCTGTCCGATTATCAAATGTTGGCGATCATATTGGCAATAATAACTTTGTTTACGGCAGCTCTAAATAAATTAGCTGTGGTAATTAAGTATTTAAATGCATTTGATTTAGTAAAAGTTTTCCTATTGGTACCTATTGTTAAAAGAATCCCAAAGATTTTTAAGACATTTAAGTAATTTAAGTCCAAACTCTTCAAATTCAACACTCAAACTTTGTAGAAGAGTCTGCACATCTTCTAAGCTGGTATTTGTGATGACTATATCATTGCATATCTAATATTATTGAAATGTAGGTAATAACACAATCTTTGATGAACACCTGAGAGTTTTCTGAAACATTTTAAGAAACCTAGACCTGTGAATTTAAGGAGTTTCATAAGTTTTTCAGACTTTAGGTAGCCAAAAGCTTTTGAAAAGTAGATAAAACATATGTAAACATTCTAACTTATATCTCTACATCTCTCTATAAGCACCTGTAAAGATAAAATAGCTTCACGAGTGCAAAAGCTTCCTTTAAAGCCAAATTGAGTCTCAGTGACATTTGCTTCACATTTTTTATACATTGTATGTTTGTATATACAGAACTATACTAATTGATTCCTCTTTCTGGTGCCTAGTCCAAATTTTCCTTTGGACACCCTGTATTTAGAAATCTGATTGCAATCTAAGTTTCTGAAAAAGCATTAAATTACAACTAAATAGGCAATAGTTGTTTTTTGACCCACCAAGTGTACCAATGAATTTACACTGTTTTTAAATTGAATTAATTCTGAATTCTTACATCCTAGCTTAATTAAAATTAATCAGCTGCGTACCTACATAAAAAAAATAACATGTGATAAAACATGATTACCTAAAAATAGTGTGGACAATAATTAATCTACATTTCAAGGTTTTCTCATATAGCACTAGTCTAAATATCATAAAACAAACATACATTTTATAAGTTTAATGTACATTTGATACAAGGATGGATCAAGTATAAAATGGATTTTTATATACCTAAATATAATATGAACATATCTATCATGTATTGTACTTAATAATGGACGAATAAAATTTGATATGGCAGATCGAGCTGGATTGTGTAAAAAGAGTGGACTGGCAGAGTCTAAAAATTGTCATGTCACAAATTACAATGAAAAGTCGCAGATGACACAGATATTGTGATCTTATACTTCTAATCAATATGTAAGCGAGGAAGAATGCTCCGTGTAGGATTTTTTATTTTCTAGGGATATTGTTTATTGTTTTTGAGAGCATTTGATGTCTTCGAGAGTATATTAGATCAATGGTGCTATCATCCAGTATTTTTTTATTTTGATTGGCTTTGTAGTTTTTGCCAAAATCTTACACCAGATAATCCTAGTCTTTCTTAAAAAAGTGTATTATCAGGCGTGGGAAGTTTTTTATTTTGTTTGAATTTATTGTCTTTAGTTTTCTGGAAAAACGAGAGTTCAGCAGCTTATGGTCAGAACCGCATATCAAGTTAGTTCAGGTACTGGTGTTGGTAATAGTAGTTCGCCAGTGCTTTCTGATTAGTATAAAATAAATGTATCTAGATTTATATACACCTGATGGTGATGTCATGTTGAGAGACAGCGAGAATGTGTGAGACTGTATTTCTAATGATTATTTGATTGTCTATACAAAATCGAAGAAGTCATACACCATGTTGGTTTCTTTGCCAAGTCCATATTTGACATCGAAAGTGATCTACACTTAATTTTTAGTAAGATAAATTCAGGAACTTATTTAGGAATTCTATCCCATACATATAGTGATTTTATCTAAGTTTGAGCAACACATAATTCAAAAAGGGAACACAAGAAGGGAGTCACTGTGCTCCCAGAAGCAAGGAAAAAAACCTTTGCTTATCAATGACAACATAAACAAATTCTAAACAGAAGAAACATGTCAAAATAATTTATTGTTTAACATTGCATTATTACCCAGAATAGTTTATCCAGAATTGATAAGAAAATACAATTCATGTAACCTTCTAAGGTCTAGTATTAGGGTTTTAAGGTTACGTAAGCTCCCCTAATATAACTTAACGACACTCACGTAGCCGGGACCGACAGCTTTTGATGCCCTCCGAGTACCGATGGCAGCTCAGTTAAATTAGAAATTGACAAATTTCTGATGTCAGTGCCGGAAAATAAACTCATGCCCTCCAGCTTGTTAAACCAGTAACATAGCCATTGTGCTACAGCCACCTCCTCAGAAATTATGTATAGTTGGCAAATTTGTTTCATATAGATATTTAAAAATCACTAAATCGTTGAAGGAAATGTAAAGAGATGTAGAGGAATTAAAAAAAAATGTAAATTGTTTGCCAGAATTTACTTTTTTGTTAACCAATTGTAAAAATGTAAAAAAAACTTAATTGTGTCTTATTTTTAGCGACCCTTATGTAAATAACGCTTTAAACAGGGAAGCCCGATTTTTCGACAAAAAGGCAGATTGGGAAAAAGAACTGAAACGAACGAAATGTCAAAACTGGAGGATATCTCAAGTGAATTTCAATTATCAGATATCTCCTTTGTTAATAGAAACCCTTATTATTCCACAATCAGTAACAGACAAAATTATTGAGGATACAGTTGGAAAGTTCCGGAACAGGTTTTGTCCGTTGTGGGTACGTATTGAAGATTATTAATTTACATTTTAGTTTATTGAATATAAATTTGCAAGTTTATTGCAAGTAAATTTTACATTTTAATTTCATTTTTATACTGTTTAATTGACATTTTTACTTATGTTCTATATACACATGTTGTCGTGACTCTATATTCTTTATAATATATCTTTAGCTGTAGTAGAATGACATATCAGTTTATTTTTTTCATTAGTAAATGTGCTCTCTACAGTTTCTTTTGACAAACAACAGTGATACAGTGCGTTAAGTTTTGGATTAGGTATGCACTCTATAAATGGCAACACTGCGCGTCTTCGACTTGCACTACATATCTGCTTCGTTGACTCGTCGTTGCACGTCGCCGGTCGGCAAATTTGTCATATTGTCATTATACCGTGGTTGTTTAAAGGTATAACAGCGTAGAGTTTTAATTTAATTTTGTAAACATGTCTGTTTATATGGCCGCGGAAAAAGCTCAAATAATAAAATGGTTTTATAGTGGCAATTCTGCGCAACAGTGTGTAGATTTATTTTCTGTGTTTTTTGAGGGAAGACCAATTCCTTGTGTACAGTCAATTTATAATATTGTTAAAAATTTTGAGAGTTGTTATTGCCTCAAAAATTGCAGAAAATGTCACGCTCGAGAAGTGTTACCAGAAAAAGTTGAGGAAAGAGAATACCGGGATACACAAATTTGTGCAACAATCGAGGTAGATTCAACACGTTCAAGTAGAAGCGTTGCTAGAGAGTTAGATGTTAGCAATGTTACTGTAACGAAAGTATGGAAAAAGCACGGTTACAAGAATTTTAAATATTCGAAAACGCAGCAGCTTTATCCAGACGATTACTTTCGAAGAATGGAGTTTTGTGAAACTCTAATAACGAAGGCTAATAGTGAACCAAATTTTATTAAAAACATTTTATTCACTGATGAATCTTCTGTTTCGTTAGTAGGGAGACACAATCCTTCCATTACGAGGTATTGGGCGCGGGAAAACCAGCACAGAAGTGTTGTTTACCGAACTCAACGTCCTCAAAAAGTTAACGTCTGGACTGGCATTTTAGGAGACCACATAATAGGTCCATTTTTTATTGAGGGCAACTTGAATAGTAGAGTATACCTCGATTTGTTACAGAATCATGTTCTTCCCGCTATTCTCAATCTTCCTGATGTAAATCTGGAGAATGTTTGGTTTCATCAAGACGGCTGTTCAGTTCACAACGCTCGAATTATTAGGGAGTATTTAAACAATACTTTCCCGAATCGAGTTATCAGTGGAACAGGCGATATTAAGTGGCATGCGCGATCTCCAGATCTTACACCCATGGACTTCTTTTTTTGGGGACATTTAAAAAGCATTATCTACGCTCATCCTGAGGCTAGAGCCCAAAATTTGGATGAATTAAAAAATCAAATAAGAGAAGTCTCCAATTCTGTTACAGCAGAAACTCTTTCATCTGTTCGCAGAAGTTTTTATGACAGATTGGGGTACTGTTCAGCCGTAGAAGGTCAACTATTTGAACCATTTCTGTAGGTCATAAAGAATTATTTTTTATTTTATTAGGAATAATATTTTAATTTTCAATAAGAGTATATTTTTTATTTTATCTTTTTAAAGAAATACGCTTTTATTTTTAATTCAACCACAAAAAAATTTTCACATTAATAAAAATCGATAACAATGCACCGATTAGTTCAGTGCATGGACGTATAAACATAGATGGACACAGCAATAAGATACCTTTAACACACAATGTTTTGAAGCTTCGATAGATTGTGATGCATCCGCAATGAGCATAAGCGTGCTTGAATTTTTACTCGCGGGTAATTATTCAGATTTTAAAAATTGGAAGTAGTAATAATGTATAAAAACACGTTCAAAGAATTAAAAAAAAACGAGAGTTTAACTATTAACAAATCACGTCTTTATAGAAAAATTAAAATACAATTTTATTTGCTTTAAAATTAATACAATTAAATATAGTTGAATTCAAGTTGATTTTTTAATAGGATCAAAATAATGCTACAATAAAAAATCTTTATGTTTTCTCCTTAATTTGCTACCCAAATAGTTCGATCGTCAATATTATTTGGAAACCTACATAGAAAAATAAATAAATTTTATTCATTTCACTAATTTATTTGTTTCCATGAGAAATATTAAATTAAAAAGGTACTAAACAGATCTTTTTTAATCAGATGATGTCTACTTACAATTTATAAATGTCTATCATATCTTATTCAATAGATTAATGAACATGAATAAACCCAATGGTACGCCTACTAAAATGTAAACAAACACGCTTCCTCATTTCCTCATCTTAAATAATGTAAATTGTATGTACTTACAAATGAAATGAGATATCGGGATGTAAATATTTCGTTTATTTTATTTCACTTTTCACAAATATCACTCAAAATACAGCCAAAATATCGAAAAATAACTTTTTCCTCATTTACTGTTAAAAGTAAACAAACATGGAACAGCATTTGAAGTTTGACGTAGATCCATAAGACAGAGAAATGTAAACAACCGTTGCCATTTATAAATAGTTTTCAGTGCTTCTACATATAAAATAATTGATTATTATACGCTATTATTAAATGATAATGCACACTATGTGCACACATGATATTTTGATTACAATTAAATATATTAATATAACCAATAAATTATTATTTTGGTTTGATAGCACCTGTAGAGTATAAAATACGAAGTAATATTTTCAGCGATTCGCGAATAAGAAATTTTAAAACAAAACGTGACAACAGTTCAAGGTGCTCAGAATGTGACTTATTCAAATAATTTTGACTTCACAATTTTATGTAAATAACTGAGTCCATCTGTATTTATACGTCCATGGTTCAGTGCATTTTTATCGAATTACTATTAAAATCGGCTTTACGTAATGAAACATGAGATCGGACGACAGAGAAGTACATCCCTAACGTTGTTGTGAGTTACTAAACTAAAATAAATGATTTTCTGTCGGTGTAGATTTTCGGGTCGGAGAACGAACATTTGCAACGTTGCCGATTTTAGCTCTCCGTATAGTGTGCAATACCTAATCAAAAACTTAACGCACTGTATCTCGATGTTGAAGCAAGAGCCTCCTATTTAAGACCCTGCACCCTATGTTTATACTCTTTTTAAGATTTTTGAAGACTTGATTAATTCGAATGTTAACAGGTGGTTCTCTTTTGGACACATATCTATGTAGTGTAGTGCAATGCTCAGCAGACTGAGACAGCATCAGAAAGTTGTTCATTTCCATAGTAACTGTTACGAAATCATTAGCGAAACAGGATATACTAGAACATTAAGTATAGGTGTCTATTTTGATTTTAGGTATGGGGTACAAGTAAAGGAGCAGCTCTAGTCAGAATGGCAGATCTTCTTCCGACTATTTCAGATCGGACAGAAGAAAATATACTTCTTGAACATATACGTAAGAGTCATCCAGCCATAAAAGAACCACACATAATCGATCTCTCATCGCCTACTCCCAAAGATATCCAAACCAGTTATTTGAAACTTAGAGACCTGTGCACACCCGATAGTACGAGGGTGTTTAAGAATCAAGATTTTAAATTCTATGGCCTTTTGGATAGTACAAAGTGGCTCTTGTATGTGTCTACTTGTTTGACGAAGGCACTCGAGGCAGCTGATTATCTTAATACACATGAATCCACAGTAGTACTTCAAGAAGGTATATACACATATCTGTACAAAAAGTCTCTAATTGTCTTTAATAAAATCGAATTAATTTTGCAGGTAATGGACAAGATTTAAATTGCGTAGTATCTAGCCTAACGCAATTAATACTCGATCCGTATTTCCGAACGAAATTTGGCTTCCAGTCTCTCATCCAAAAAGAATGGGTCGCTTTAGGACACCCATTCTCTAATAGACTTGGTCACATTTTATGTAAAGAAATAGAACCTTCGCCCATATTTCTATTATTTCTAGACTGTGTCTGGCAGCTTTTGCAACAATTTCCACAAGCTTTCCAGATAAGCGAAACTTATCTAACGACGCTTTGGGATTCAGCACACATTTCTATATTTGATACGTTTTTGTTCAACAGCCCGCATGATAGATTTATGGCCGAAACGGTAAGTGAAAGATTCTATTTTTATTCTTATAAGCCGCTAACTGGTTAAAGGAAGTCAAGTAAAAGTAAACAATAAAAATTTAGTTTCATCTATTTATTTCACTCACAATTTTTGATATATACTTACATTTTTTACACTTTTTCAAAGTATTATCAAAGAATATAGACGCATATAGAAGGATCTTTCACTGTAATTTTTGTCTACGTGAAACGTGAAAACAATCTTTCCTGTTGTAATGGACAGCAGGAGTGTGACGTCACGAGTGTCACATTGTCATTATTACTTTCCAAACAAAGTTGTGTGTGTGTGAGTTTGTGCATTATTGGCTTCTCACACACACACAACTTTGTTTGGAAAGTAATAATGACAATGTGACAGTCGTTCCAAACAAAGTTGAAATGTCCAATCTCAAGACTTTTTAATTTCTATAAAGTTAACATTTTGCTTTTTCTTGTAAGTATAGTGTTTTTTACGATAATATCATCATAATTGAGATTTCAATTTCTATGAAATATAGTTTAAAAGTTTAAATTAAACAAATTCTAAACTTACTTTATTCATACATGTATTTTATTATACACAACCTTGTAAAATTATTGTAGTAACTATTAGAATACTTAAATACTGCAAAAAGCGGAAAGATTCTATAAAAAAAATGAATAAATAACGAAAAATAAAAATTATCCACACTAAACAAGGTTTGTTTGGAAAGTGAAACTGACAGATGTCAATAAAATCTACGTCATCACTCCGGTGGTCCATAGAAGCAACGCTAAAATGGCTGCGATATGGACGCTATAGCGACATCTGATAATAAATCACGAAAGTCGAAATCCGAAGATTTCTAATTGTCGAAACCAAATTCAAATTTTTGCTTTAATTTGTGTCTTCTAATCAACGTCTGTTTTGTCTTGCAATTCTTAGAAGAACAAAGAAATATAACGAATAATTAAGGAAAAAATCAAAACAGCTAAGGAAATCTATTTGATGAAACAATGCAAAGAGATAGAAGAACTAGAAACAAAATATGATATGCGAAATATGCACAAAAAAATAAGAGAAGTAACTGAAATGTGTCGAAATAGACAGCAAGGACACAAAAAGACAAAAGAGGAGTACTACTAATAGATTTACCAGAGAAATTAAGACGATGGGAGGAGTACGTTAGAGAACTTTTCCAATATATTCTTCTTCTTCTCGTGCCACTCCTAGCGGAGATTGGAAATCATCATGGCCACTGCGACTTTGTTAGCAGCGCGCCTAAAAAGTTCAATCGAATTACACCCGAACCATTCACGTAGATTACGAAGCCACGATATTTTTCTTCTTCCCACACTTTTTTTGCCCTTAATTTTGCCCTGCATGATGTTTCTTATATGAAAGAGGTGAAATGCAGAAAATACAAGTGTAAAAAATATAATTTATTACAAATAAAACTAGTTTAAGAGGATAACTTGGAAAAATTGACAGATTTATTCAACATGGTATACGATACGGGAATGATACCACAAGAGTGGCTGAAGGCAGCATTAATACTATCCCTAAAAAACAATCAGCCAAAGAGTGCTCTGATTATCGAACACTGAGCTTCGGGATATTAGCGATAGGCTATAGGATATTAGCGTTCGGGTTCCGAAATGGAATGGTTAATCGAGAAGGACTATTTGCCATCAATATATTGATTCAGCGATGTTGGGATGTAAACGGGATGATTGATCTACACTTGTGCTTTGTTGACTACGAAAAAGCTTTCGATAAAGTAAGACATTAAAAACTAATATCAATACTTATGAACAAGCGCATTGACAGTAAAATCATAAATATGTATAGTGCAAACATTATATTGGAACCAAACTGCCATAGTTCAAATTGATAGGCAACACTCAAAAGAAATAAAGATCTGTAGAGGAGTTAGACAGGGATGTGTTTTATCGCCACTTTTGTTTAACTTATATTCTGAAGAAATTTTTCAAAACACAATAATATCAAAGTGGGAGTTACCGTTAAAGGAAAATTAATTAACAACGTACGGTATGCAGACTACACTGTGATTATAGCAACGAGTATAGAAGATCTACAACATCTTATCGAAAGCTTAAGTATGAATAGTGCTGAGATGGGAATTACTATAAACGCTAAAAAAACGAAGTACATGCTAATTACAAAAAGACCACAATATGTATATACATCACCTATTGACAATCAATGGTAAAGTGACAGAACAAGTAGAAAAATATCAGTACTTGTGAACTCAACACAGAGGAATTTGATATTTTAAGAGGGGTGTGACAGGGGTGTATTTTGTCTCCTATGCTCTTCAATCGCTATGTGGAGAACATTTTTGCAGAGGCACTGGAAGGCTCTGAGTGTGGAATAAAGGTAAACGGGTTTCCGATAAATAACATTCGTTACGTCGACGACACCGCGATAATAAGAGACAATGAAGATGATATTCACTTGATATTAAATAAAATAAACACCATAGGAAAAATATATGGCTTGAAGATAAATGCTGGAAAAACTAAATGCATGGCAATAAGAAAAAACGCACTTTTAAGAATACAACTGCAAGTAGATAGTGCTCCAATCGATCAAGTAAAAACATTTAAATACTTAAGTTTAACATTTAATAACACTGGCGATCTTTTGCATGCCGCAAAAGACAGACGTCTGGCCTTAAGATTATTCGCCAACGCTCTACAGGTGCACGGCACTATGAGAAGAAGAAGGGAACTTTGATCAATGAAATATCATAGTGCAGAAATAAACAGGCGAATAGAGATTGCCAGATCAACATTTATACGAAGGAAGCCACTTCTAACGTACAAAAATCAAAATTTGGAGATCAGACTACGTACCATTCGCTGTTATATATTTTCAATATTATTGAAGCTGAGACTTGGACATTAAAAAAATGCAATTTAAAAAGAATCGAAGCTTTCGAACTCTGGTTATACCGCAGAGTATTGAAAATATCATGGACTGATAGAATTACAAATAAAGAAGTACTGGAGGGGGTTGGTAAAGAAACAGAACCAATCACCACTATACAAACCAGAAAACTGGAATACATAGGCCACGTGATGAGGGGACCAAAATATAAAAATTTTGGGACTCGTAATACAGGGAAAGATTCAAGGAAGAAGATCTGTTGGCCGCAGGCAGAACTCATGGTTGAAGAATCTACGTGATTGGTATTAATGCAGATCGATTGATTTGTTTAGAGCAGCAAGTTCAAAAATAAAAATAGCCATTAGGATTGCCAACCTCCGTAGGGAGATGGCATTCTAAGAAGAAGAATTTTCATTCCGAATTTACCAACATCAGTATATTTTTGGTATTCGTGATTTTTTTCTTTCTTTCGCTTTAGTTAGTTAATTTTGTAACGAAAATATTTTGCCTACCAAAGGGTTAATTAATACAGGGGGTAGAAAATTGAGGGAAGAAACTATTGGGGGTGGAGATAGGGCAAGCAAAATAATCGCTACTTGTGCGAACGGCACTCAGGGTTTCGTAGGAGAGCTGGGGTCGTGGATAAGTAAAAGATAAGGGCATTGGAATGGGGGACTACAAGAAAATGAAATAAAGGGGTCACTAATCTCTTGGGATAAACAAAATAAAAATAAACAAGAAAAACCTCAAGGAATTTAATATAGGGCGCCACTTGAGGTGCCTAATTATGCCTATTACAACCACTAGTTGTAACTAGGGAAATAATTAGAAAACAAATCAAAACATAAAAAACATATCTTTTTCAAATAAACTCAAAAAGGGTTAGCTCAAAAAAAAATAAATAAAAAGTTAGGAAAATAAAATTTAACCTTTATTTATGTGTCACCACAAACAGTTACATGGAGAAATACAAAATTCAAAAACTTACATGTGTCATCCATTAACAAACTCCATTGCTACAAAACTTACAAAATTGCATGGAGGTTAACTTTAAAAAAAAAAAACAAAACAAATCAACATCAAAAACACTAAAACGAGCTGTCATAAATTAACATTAAATTTCAAAAAAACTAAACACAAATTGACAGCTTTACTCAAAACCTAAAATTTACAATTTTAAATGTCAACGAAAGCAATTATTATTTTATAAAAAAAATGTCTGTCTTTAGTTTAAAATTTGAACAAAATGTTACCTTAATTCACATGATCACACTTAAGTTTCTGAAACCATAACTGGAACTGAGGGCTCCACTCTCTCTGCATCACGAAAACCTCCATCTCCAAACTGCCAAAAGCCTTGGATAAAACAGGAACAAAAAAAAACAAAACGAGGATGTCCTCCAATCCTCACTCAAAACATTAATAACTGAAGCATTTACTGCCACAAAACCAATAACAAACTGCTACATATTCTTCATAACAAAAGACGAAAACAGAATACTTTACAAATTCGACGTGAATTTGGACATAACGCTGAACCGCTCTTGAAAGCTGCTACAACGAGAGTGAAGAAATTCTATTAAAATTGAACGCATACATACAAACGCTGACATAACAAGACACCACGAAACGACGTACATATCCTTTTGCGACGCATAAACTTGAAAAGAAATTGCCGAAGTAAAATATAAACAACTCTAAAATGGTTTATTTCAACTTGGCCGACCTAAGAAAGAAATGAAAAGATATTTGGGTTTAAATACGTACGAAATATTTTTAGATCTATCAAAAATATATAAGGTGATTTTAATATTTCGTATACGAGGGGACTTCAATATACTTAAAAGAATCAATGAAATTGAAAATGCTACAATTTTTATCAGTTATCGTAAACTTTTAACCAATTTGATGATACCATTTTCTTTTAGGATGCAAAAAAATTGAACTGATATTATACTTTTATTTATAGGGATCTTTAATTTTAAGAAGTGTTTGGGATTGGAGAGAGCAGTTTGCGGATAAAGACATCATTCTCTTTTGCAATCCCTTATACGATGACAGCTTCCGTGAGCCTATTAAACCCAATACAGGTCTATCTTCTATGGAAATATGGTTACAATGTTATTTTAGGTTTGTAATATCTGCATTTAAAACTTTTTACTTTGTCAATGCCTATCTACTAAAAACACCAGGCATATCAACTGCTTCAATTGTGGAGTTTTTCTTCGGCTTACCACTATCTGATGAACTCCCAAGTGGAGCGACATATTTCATAGTGTGACTGAATCATAAACTTCTAGACGTCAAAGATAGAGCATTCATGCTTTCTATACTCCATCTAATTTACTTACCGTTGCACGTCATTATCATTGACAGAGATCGAAGTTGACATAGTTGCCAAAGTATAAGAAAATCTTAAATCCATGTTAAATCAAATAGGTCACATAAATATTGCAAAAGTGGATTATACAAAAAAACAAATTCTTTGCAACGACTATTTAAATTCTTACGTTACATTTTTGAAATAAAACACACTGATTTTGTTCTAAAAAGAACCTTCTTTATTAAATAGGTAAAAATATAAAACAAGAGGTATTCACTTTAAAATTCAAAATAATGAAGTACAAAAAGTGTGAACACCGCAACTGTCAAATAAGTGTTACCAATTTATGCCAAAATATCACCTTCGTTAGATTACCGTTATGATGTGTTCCGAACAAATGTTCTTCATAAAAACGCTTTATAATGCATTTTTATACAAATTTAATGAAACATATTATTATGTATTTCTTTAAGTTAACATCAATAGAAATTTTTAAATATTATTTCTATGCGTATATAATAAAATATGTCTAGTGGCTCTAGTGATTCTAAAAAAGAACACAACCACCGCCTAAATATTTCGTGTTGGTATCATGTGACCTCACGGGCTATGACGCGGATGACGTGCAACGATAAGTAAATTAGATGAAGTATATATTAATTGCCGTGTACAGTTGAGCCTTCACTATTATTGCTATGATTTTTTTAATGGCAGTTACTAATTGTACTCATTATTAATAGCATTTGTAACAAAAAATCATAATTTTATTGATACTAATCATTTTGGTTGTATTTTTAAGTTGCTCAGCAGCGGTTGTACCTTGTAAGAAGTGAAAGATACATGCAAAAAATGTAAAGGTCATAAAGTTTAAGTACAAATTGATCCTTCACAATAACACTAATATATAATTAATGGCATTGGTTTATGATTCATCAACAGCAGTGTCCTAATTGTGATCCAATTCGTCAATTTAGCTTTCTCCTTGTTTACTCTCTTCTAAGTTTGCTCTTTCTCTATTTTGTTGACTATATATGTTCCATCGATGGGGGAAGGTTTCTGATGTATTCTAGGACATAAGATCATATTTACTGACATCCACGTGACGCCTGATTTTTGTGTGATATAAAGAAATGGGCTGCTCCAGTCTGTAGGTTATGGACGCCTAAGTTTAAGTCTATAGCCATAGATAATATGCATTAGAAGTTGACACATTAGGAGTTCGCATAGCCTTTTTCACGTCGAAGATGATCGCAACTTTGCTATCATCCTTTAAGTCATCTTTTGTGGTTCTGCACAAGTGAAATTATTTTTTTGCCAAAGTTAAAGTCTTTTCTTCTGTTTAATTGTACTTGACCTTCTGAAACTAAGATTGAACTCCAGTATTACAGATTACAGTATTACAAATTACAGTATTACAAATTTTCCTGAAAAAGCTTTTCTTTCCAGGTTTGGCAGGTGGGCAGGTATTTCGAGACTTATTTTTAGTGTAGTGGCTTTTATGTACTTGGGAACTTATTAATATACATTTTTATGATTTCAAATTTCTTTTCAAAAATTTTGTTAGGATTATTTTTTGTTTATTTGTTCTTTTGAGGAGACTCTTTTTGTTACTAACTGCATTTGGTTTTTTTATAGGCTCTCTCTTTAAAGCTTGGAAAATCTATTTGGAGATTCTAGTTACCTAATGCCCAGTACTCTTTAAAAATTGAAAGTTATTTTTTCTCGTGAAATATTATTGGTGCATTCATACTTGCAATGATGATTTTAGCTCTATTTTTTTATCTAATTACTTGACTTCCGGGCTCTTTTTTGGCAGTATGCTTTGTTGCGGAATTGCATTAGCAAGTAAATCATCTATCAGTGGCACCTGCATTCCCATTTTCTTCTTCAGGATCATATGCAATCTGCAAACATCATAAACATTACACAACAAGCTTCAAATTTTTCAATATTTCTATTTTAATAACCTAGGCACAACTTGAATAGCTATCTTAATGTTTTATAGTATTTACAATTCAATAGCAGGTGTAAATTTAGTTCCATAGATAAGTTTACCTAAATTATCACTGCTACTGTCTTTATGTGGAACATCTTCATCATCTTCAACTGAAGAACTTCTTCTAAATGTTGACCCATCTTTTTCCATTCACAGCAGCTCGAAATAGATCAGTTGACTTTAGACCAGTCCACATCTGAAGAACATAATGCAAAATTTATGTATAAAAATAAATAAATTATACTTATTTGATCATATCAAAGAGTTTAACTTTTAAACGCTTGTTGAAGCTTTATAGTAATTTAGGCTGACTTTTACAAACCTTTGGTCTAGGTCTAGAGAGTTCAAATTTTTAACAGCAATTTGCAAACAGGACTTTTAACTTAATTCAGTTTCTAGGTTAGGTTCATCCATTTCCTATTTCAATAACAGTTTCAAAGAAAACTAGTGTTCATTGCAATCTCTCCTTAAAAACACTGTAGTTTATAATAAAGTATTACTTTAACAACAAAATAGCAGTATAATATTGCTTTAGAGCAGCAAAACCAGTATCCATCCACAATGAAAACAAACTTGTATCTTTTCCAAACTCTACTCATAGTTGGCTTGGAGGTTAAGTAGTTTGCCGTTAGAAAGCAGCACTTGTTAGACTCATCATTTAGATCTCTTTACCTCCAAATAGAATGATAAATGTTCAATTCAGCGATGCAGATCATATTTCACACGGTCAACAAATATATAACTCCTTTTACCTATATATATATATATATATATATATATATATATATATATATATATATATATTTATATATATATATATATTATATATATATATATATATATATATATATATGTATATATATATATATATATATATATATATATATATATATATATATATACTCCTATTTCTTTACTGATATAATAGTAGTGTTTAAATGTTTCAGGTGGTTACCAGATTTAGAAATTCGCACCGGAGGTAGACCGCAAATAGACTTATTTAGTCGGTATCTAGTCGCAGAAATACTGCAAACACAGCAAAACCCGACGGATATTAATGGCAAGCTGAACAAAAGCAAAGAGCAGTATTTCGAATTAATTCAAAAAGTTAACAGTTTCTTCCCTTTTAGCCATAATTCTAGTCTGTTGTCGGGAGACGCTACTAATAGCGTTCTTTTGACAGGAGACGTTTTGGATACGCAATCCATACTTAATTTTACTAACGATTGAATGTGCCTGATAGATTTAAATGAATTAATGCATCAGCGTGATGACAAGATGTTTCTACTTGTAAATAATATATGCAACATAATTATTCCCCCATATTTTTAATAATAACATATAAAGACATGGATTCGCGCCATATACGAACGTTAAGTGATAAAACTATTTATGTAGATAACGCATACCTTCTAAAACGCCCAATTTTTAAATAATTAATTAATAATCTTGAGTCTACGAAGGACGTACAAAAAGTATGTATCATTAATATACAATTTTCGCCAAAATAAACAGTACCGAAAGTAAAAATTGTATTAATATTTTTCTCACAAGATTTCTTAATCGTTGTGCAGATTTGAGGGCGTGTATGCCTTAAAACCGAGACACGGAAGTTGAGAATTTTTCGCGCATAAATTGATTATGCGCTGATTGGGGACTGTGTTTACTTTACGAACTTAGGGCCTGTTTAGCCAAATTTGCTGCTAAGTTCCTAAGGTATCTGTTTTACGAAACTGTGCGGCTCATTGTGAAACTATTGAGACCCATTTTAATTGTTTAGATAAAAGCTACACGTTTCAGTTTGATGTGATACCCTCCATTTGTCAAAGTCATAACTCTAAGCTCAGATCATTTGAAAGGGTATATTCTGGCCTCACAGTGCCGTATAGTGTTGTAAGGTCTATAAATATAGCTCCAATATTTTGTCCCTGCTCGATTCATCTTTTGATATACAGGATTACGCAATTGAACTGTTACTTATTCATACGACCATAATTTTTTTGTGTGAAATTATTTTTTATTGATTCAAATGACAAAAATGTGTGAAAATAATCAAAATTTCATAATCCACTCACTTTAGCCACCTTTTGCCTTGACTATGGCCTTCAAACGATCAAAAAACGAGTTGCATGCCGCACGAATGTATCTTCCGGTATTTTGGCCCATTCACGTATAATTGCTATCTTCAGCGCCTCCATACTGGCATACTTTTTAGTCCACATCTTGGTTGGGTTGAGCCCTCCTCCTTGGAGGAGGTTGAGCCCAATATAGCATCTGTTGACCGTGCCAATGACTTAAAGTGCTTAAAAATTGTGTAAGGTCTCGTGTAAGACTCGTCTATATTACGTCTATTTCCAAGTTTGTCCAGTTTAACTAACTAAAAAAGATAACAAATTTTAAATTTTTATTCCGATCTAAACAACAAATTTTGATTGATTTGATCCAAGAAAAAATCTGTTAAATCAATTAAAGTTAAAAAGACTCATGTCAAATCTATCAGCTCAATGAATTATTAATTAATTATTTAAACGTCTAACCTGATGCATTAGTAAGCCAAATAATATTCCTTAAAGTATTTTTCATTCCTTAACCACTTAATGATAAAGCAGAGATTAACTTTTGTAACTTTTTTGTATAATCAAAAAGTGGCTTGTTATATTTGAATATATATCTTCACGTCACAATATTAGAATTAGTTTTAATGAAATTATTACAAAAACAACAATATGACTACTTTACAAAGAGAAAATGGCTTAACTTTATCACGTACTTATAATAAACTCATTTTCGGCCTTGACAGTATTTGAGGTCTTATTTTAACAGCGTAAAGAATACATAATATCGTATCGATTCCAATATTTTACACCTTTTAAAATAGATTTTATGCAAAATATTTATAATATTTAATAGAAGCTTCAGCTATTCGGTACCTATAGTATACTTGCTTCAGGTTATATTTTGTTACTTTAATAATTTTATTTATATAGAAAATCATAGTTGATCCCATTGAGATATTATATCTTATAAATTTTTCCCGTTCGATGAGCCTTATGTTATATAGTCTGAAAAGATATTGGTCTATTAATGACAATTTATACTTTTAAAATAATCTTATCCAATATCAATACATTATATCCAGCAGTATTTCAACGCCGGTATCCCCCCGTATACTGTTACTTCGGAAGTGATGCAATGTAAAATCTAAAACTGCAATGACTTCTTGAAAAAAAGCCAGAATCAAACATTTTTTTGATATCCTTATATTTTATATTCACTTATTTTATTAATACACACAAGAGTACAATATTGGTAAAGATCCTTTGTTTTTAGCCCCCATAATCCATAAAATACCTGCCCTCGCACCAAAACCTTGACAGGTGACAGCTCTCAACTGTCGAGTCAACTAAATTTGCGTTTACATTAAGCTGTCAAAGGTACCACCACGTATATTACATCCATGGACGTATATGTTAACATAGAGTGAGTTGCCAGTAACGAGCATTGACATCTTTTGCGTTTGTTCGATCTGTCGCTCTCTAGCGCATTGAAACTCCTCATTCGCTCCCTATCAACCAAAAAGATACGCTGCTATACTTCCTTAATGTAAGATAGAGGCACAAATAACAACGAAAACAAAGATGGTGTCGTCAATTAGCTCTACAGACTGCTCAGTCTATATTAAAATATACGTCTATTATTACAACATTATCCAGTGGTAAACCTTGAAGAAATTCATCCCTGTACAATTTTTTACTTTTTTCAACATCACTGTTGTAAAGTAGGGAACTTATCAGACGTCCTTAGTACGCAACCTGAAAGAAGAAGTGATAAAATACAGATAAATATATGGTCAATTTTAGTTTTATATTCTGTTTTAAATCCTCTTAGATCTTTTTGTACATCATGATAACACTAAAGCGCTGTAAATTTTGAGGGTAGAAGAGTTCTTGAACGAAGGCAGGATGGGTTTCGATAAGGAACAAGATGTAGTTTATATAGGGCAATATGCGATCCATAGCAGCGATTTAATTGTCATTAAGCGAAGTTTCTTACCACCGAGTCATTTTTTAAATACATTATAATTGTTGGAATCCAAAACTGGGAAAACAGAGAATAATTCTTTAATTCAGAACCAATTCATAAATGTAGACCATCGCAACAGAAGACTTGCAGGGAGATGAGCAAAACTACTTTGTTGTTTACCAAAGGAGACCGTTTTTTTTTGACAATTGAGACAAAAATTGGCAATGAAGAACGTTGAAATAGAATTATTAGTATGTTTGGTCGAAAATAGACATCTAACCACATGCTAAAAGCACTGCATCCAGTAGAATATTTTATAAATATAAAAGGATGCCCTTTTGTTCGATGGCGCATTGTCCGATTCAAAAACAGATGTCTACACGTGGGTTAAGCAATAGATTCCTTAAGTATTCTGCTATCAACATACCTTAGAACTAAGGCGCTTGCAAATAATGTTGATGTTTATGTTTAAGACAATTATTCATACGATACAGTCATAACAGAATCTAGAAACTATTAAAAGTATAGAGGAATGACCTTGAATTACGAATGCATATTATTTAAGGAAATACAAGCTATTTACATCTAGTAAAGTGTGTAAAGTTACAACAAAATAGTATGTGTATTTTGAATGGGAAATTATCATATATTAATCCCAATACATTGATTCGATTCCCAATACAAAATCAAAAAGTATTGTCTTCAAAGACCCCAACAAATCACGAAGTCGTAATCTGTCCAGTATAGCTCCTTTTCGGAGTCGATATTTAACAATAGATGCCGTATATCTGTATATATTTAATGATACACACGAGGTACATGCAGAAGGCATACCAACGCTCAAAATTCGGTATGGAACATTAGATTGATGAAATATCATTGACAAAATTATATACAAATCTGGGAGTGACAACTGATCAAAAACTAACGAATAACTTTACAATTGCTGAAATTACAATAATTATTGTATTAAATAAACAAGTTTAGGTCATGTTGTTTGCAGTTTACATACGCATTATTATATTAAAAGTGCTAATAATTTCGCTGATCTGTGACACTTTTCGTCGCTCTTCGAATTTGCACATAGCGAATAGTAATGCAAAAAGTAAAAAGTAGATTTGCTCTCCATAACTAATCGAAAATTAAATCAGTTGCAGTGACTTCACACAAGTTCCATATGTTTCTAAGCCACTAATTTTCTTCTTGGTTCACTTCTACCCTGAATCTTGACAGTGAGTGGGTATGATGAAATTCTAGCAAATTCTAGGTGCTGCCAATATGTATTTACACAAATTTTTCTGCGGTAGAAGTTTATTAGTATTGTTGAAGTAGTAAATATGTTAAAAGATTCAAGAGCATATTTGTTTAATAGATTTAAAACTTGTGTTGTGATAAATATATATTTTCAAATTCAATAAAAAGCTTACTTTAGTTTAAATTAGATATCTAAAATAGGTATTCAGCAGGTCGACGAAATAAAGTTTTCTTTTGGATGTTAGTTAAGTTTTAAATTTTAATATTACCTGCAGTATTTTTTATCAAGAATGTATTTTCCTTTTACTTACCTGTAAAACAAATATGTACAACATATATATTTAGTGATCATTTTGTTCTAAAAACCAAAAATGTTAAGTTATTATTTATGTTTTATTTATAAAAATAAAAAATATTTCATTCATCTTAAACGTAGTTTTATTTCAACATTTTTAGTTTTATATTCAGTTTCCGGAAAGGAGATAAACTGGGTCCAGTAGAACAAAAGAAAACGTCATCCATGCAATAAAATTGGCAAAAGATAATAAAGCCACAGGTTCTAACAAGATACCAGCAGAAATTGGTTAATTAATCGCAGAAGATCAAATTATAGATATACTAAACGAGTTGTACACCATATATGATACATGCGTCGTCCCTATTGTCAGAAAAAACTGACAATAGAGAATGCTGTGACCACCGAAACATCAGATTAATGAGCCACACTCTAAAGATATTCTTGAAAATTATACATTAAAGGATTTTCAGAAAATTGAAGCAAGATATTAGTAACACTCATTAGAGGAATATATTATAAGATTTAGTTTGGCTTCAGAATTGCAGTGGGTACAAGAGAGGCCTTTTTGGTTTTAATATATTGGTGCAAAGATGTATGGATGTTAATCAACCTCTTTATATCTATTTCCTTGATTACAGCATGGCATTTGACTAAG